CTTAGGAAGTCGAAGGACAACTCTGAAGTGCAAGAGGGAAAAAGTTAATATACTATCACAAATAAATTAAAGATTGATTGCGTTCAGTAACAAACCTGTATGCTGTTTATTAATTCTTGAGGATGCTCAACCCGCAGGCCGACCTGCAATTAATACGTTTTATTAGGAGAATGATTGTGTTTTTGCCAATGATGGAATACCAACGAGATTATAGCAGAAATCAGAACCACGAGAGTCAATACTAATGAACCGAAGACATCAAGCCAAAAAAAGGGGCAAGCTCACAGACAACACAAAGACAGGATCGCAACTCCTGCATGTCCTACCAAGTAGTCCAAGGAATTATGATTTCTCAAAAATAAAGGAAAAAAGAAACCAAATTGTTGATAAAAGCGAGGTTTTGATAACAATATAGAGATGAAAACAATTCGGACATTTCCTTACTTCCGCTAACCATATTTTGGATAAAACTCCACAAGTGAAGTTTCTTTTGAAAATTGGTTAAATAGTATTCTTCAGCATTAAGGAAATGTTGGACAGTTCCAAGGCCTAAAGCTATAAGCATATGTACACTTTGGATAAAACACAAAAATTATAAATGGAAACAATAGAGATACAAACTATATATATTTATTATGGACAGGAGCTCACAGCAAAATCCTTTTCAACAAGGCTGACCCCATGAGAAAGAAGCATCTGATAGGTATCGCGTGCAGAATGCCCAACTGCAAGAACCACTGCATCGTACCCTAACTGCTGGTTCATGGAGTGTGAGCTGTTATCTCTTGAATTAGAAACTTTAACACCCACCACATGCTTATCTTTGACAAGTAAGTCATCTACCCTTGTTCCAAACATGACGGTGACCTGACCATATCAGCAATAAATGAAAATTCTTACAAGTCTAGAACTTTCACATTTCTTTCCTAAGAGGCATAAGTTATAAATTACTTACACCCAACTTTTCAAGGTATCGACGGAAATTTTGAAGAAGTGGAACCAGTTTATCAGTTCCTAGATGAGGTTTTCCATCAACCAAAATTTTCTGTGGAGCTCCAAAGTGGACCAATGTTTCCAAAACCTGGAAAACAAGATGAAGGTTGAATGACAAGTATAATTGACAGAATAAACACATGTTAATTAGCACATAGAAAGACTGCATATGTAACAATCGTAAGTATAATTTTCCAGGATTAAGCAACCTACTGCTAAAACACTACCGCTGTTTCTTCCAATTCTAGTAACTAGCTTCCCGTCGCTCCAAGTACCTGCACCACCCTGTCACACATAAGTCCTTCGTAAATAAGTAGCTAATGAGAGCCAATGTCTGTAACACCATACAATCTATTTGACATCAGAAAACGGAGGTGGAAAACCAGTAAGGTGCTGAAACTGCATACATAGCTAAATCACTGAGAGCAGTTACTCGATCCAAGCACTAAAACATCTCTTTTCAAATCTCACAGTGCAAGTACAGAGATACAGATTTGATTAGAATCAGATTTGACATCAATCTATTTCAAAGTAAAAAAAAATGTTCAAAATTAATATATGGCCTGTACAACATCATTTACATCTAAATAGCAAGGAGAAGATGAAGTATGGAAGAAACACAGAACCAGAAATATTATCAATTTAAGGGAAGCCTGGTACACTAAGTTCCCACTATGCACGAGGCCCAGGGAAGGGACGGACCACAAGGGACTATTGTATGCAGCCTTACCCTGCATTTCTGCAAGGGGTTGTTACACCAAGCTCACTTAGAATATGTCTATTTATACAAGAGTTTCAAGAATAATTAGAAAATTATTTTCATTTGTTTGAGGGCAGTCCTGCTAGTTTTCACATCAATGGGCAATATACTGGTTAATAGCATAATAATGAGTCAAACATCTTATCCTCTAACTTAAACAACCAATTTGCTACATAGTTTACTCCAATAGTTGAAGTAGATGAAAATCTAAGAGCAGCGCTAAACATGTTAGTCCTGTTACAATGAAAAGAGACCTTATAGAATTTTAATCAGGTCTAACAGGAAGTACTACGGCAGTTAAAGCCTGGTATTATTCGGAATACCATGAAACCCCAAAAGAATTCTACTACGGCCAAAAAGTTTCGCATCCAGATCTAGTGAGAGTCAGCTTTCACATTTAGTGTCCATGTTTTGTCATTGCAACGACGAATATTAGTTCTTGAAAAGTATTTTGAAATCATTAAGATCAAAACCAGTTATCAACTTTATTCGGTATTGTTGCCTAAAAATACTTACCCATTATATATTTGTAATGTCACAAATACTTTCATGAGCTGCAACAATATAAGTCAAGAATAGTTGCACAAAACAAAAACAGAGGCAAATTGCAGAAATTAATCTCAAGAAGCTGGAAAAACCTTTGAAGGAAATAAGTGAATCGGGATATAACCTCCCCAAAGCAAAAGTTGCTCTCCTCTTGCAATATCCGTCGAACAACCAGAGCACCAATGTCACGGCCCCTTTTCTCAACGGGTTCTCCCCTTTCCATCAGTGTAACATCTGCTCCAAATTCAGCAAGGACAAGAGAAGCAAACAACCCTGCAGGCCCACTTCCAACAACTGCAACTTTTGGTTTTCTATAACTTGCATTCATATGTGATCCATTGCAGAGATTTCTATCTCCGTGTTCTGAAGTAGTTGCATCCTGACCCGACTTTCTGCAAGCATGTACAATGCTCATTATGTCACCAGAAGTCCTGTCTTGAGGCAAATGCTCAATTAAGCCAACCTTGGGTTCCAATTCAGAGATGAATTCCCAAGTACGAGGCTCTAAATTTAGTAGTTTATGGACATCCACATCAACCGTATATACAAACTTCTGTTCCTTTTGCAACTGTAATGAGGTTAATGTAGAAGTTAAGTACATCAACAACTGTACCTATTATATATTTTGTTTCAAGCAATTCAATGCTAAGGCTACATTATCACTAGTATCATCGTCCCTACAGTCCTACACTATAATCAAGGATACATCCATAATAAGCTCAATTACATGAGCATCCTAATATGGTAGAAATAAGTATTCGGCAATCATTGATGGAATATGCTCTAGGTCTGAATATGGTCTCTTTTTTCCCACCATCTTTCCTTCAATTCAATACATTATAGCGGAATCAACTTAGGACAGTCAATGTTCATTGACGACTGGAAGGAAATAAAGTAAAGAGCTAATGATGGAGAAAGGAGGACCTGGAAAGCATATACTAAGGAGCTATCTCATCCACAAGTATATACTTAAATATCTTAATTAGATCACAATAAACAAGATTCTGTCAAGTTTTTAATTGGAAACATGCAATTGATTGAAACAACTTTTTTATAAGGGCAATTGATTGAAACATTTTAATCTATTGAACCACTTTATTACTTGGTCCAAGAAGTCCTACATTCGTTCTCCAAGTCCTAATGGAAGGATGCAAAGATGTATTTTACATCTCAGCTTAACGAGCTTGAACTGCAATAAATAGATGAAACTATAGATGGTGGGGTATTTGGATAACTTTTTTCTGGTCAATGTGATCATGATCTTTGGGTTTTCGGATATGCCAAATCATATTTTGGATTAAGCACATTTTTACAAAGGATGGAAAGACCCTACAGATTCATAGTCTAGATTTTTCACTATGGTTGAATATACAATATTAGAAAATCAACGTGCAGGTTACTTGATACAGAAGCAAGAAAACAAAAGCTGACATATATAGAAAACTCAACCTTGATATAGAGGGAATGTTTCAAAAGAGTTGCTTTGAGGGAAACGAACCTTGCGAGCATCAAAAGATTTTCTAACAACTTCAAATGCCTCCTGTGGCAACATTGAAGCAACCTACAAAATATAGTCTAAAGTTAACAATTTTACCAGACATTCAAGAACTTTAGCAATCTCTACTACTTTCACTGAACAAAAAAACTCAAATATATTCCAAAGTTAACTTTTTTAGCAGAAATTCAAGAACTTTAGCAATCTCTACTACTTTTACTAAACAAAAAAACTCAAATATATTCTACAGTTAACATTTTTACCGGAAATTCAAGAACTTTAGCAATTTCTTGGAGTAAAGCATCTGAAACACCTAAGAAATCTTTTCCAGGGTCTTTATGAACTGAAACACTAAGCTTTGAGAGCCTCCAAATCCCTTCAAATTTGTTTTCAACATCAACTTGAGCTTCTTGTTGCTGTTTTAGCTTCTTTTTCTCAGATGGGTACCTCAATTTTCCTCTTCTTTTTACCTTCTTTGAACATGTAATGCAAAAGGGGTTTGAGTATAATGAAAAAGATTGAGTTTTTGGGAATGTGAATTTGGGATTTGAATTCAAGAATGAAAAATGAGAAGGGACTAGATTTTTGGTAGAAGCCATGGACATGGTTGAAAATTTGGAGGAGATAAGATTTTAGTTGGGATGTGGGGGGTTTTAGAAGGGGTTTTGGTCATAGATACAAAATATGTAAATTTCTAAAATCCCTCATATCAACATTATTATAAATAATTATTTCAAATTAGTTAATAATTTTACAAAACTAAAATAAAATAAATTAATTTTATTTTTATTTTATCCTTACTATTAATAATTTTTAGAAGTATAATAATCATAGAATTAAAAATCATTTTAGATTGTCTCAACTGAATTTATAAGATTTGAGCTTGAATAAAGTTAGATACATATTTCAATGATATCTAAAAAATTATTATAATATATATATAAAAGAAAACATTTTAATACATATTTTATTATTTAAAATGTAATAAGATATTCAGATATCTTATTTATAAACTATAATTTGCCCATTTTTAGATAGTTTTCATAAATTATAGGATATTCATGTTTATTAAGAAAAAAGTACTAACTTTGTTTAGAGAATTTCAGCTTCAAAACATGATTTTTTAAAGCCAAAATTTGATGTTGGCATTACCATAAGAAATACTCCCACAGCAAAATGAAGAGTTATAGTGATAGTAAAACAGAATGAACAAAGCAATGGCAATAGAAGCCAAAATTTGAGAATCAAACCAAAACTATTAACACAAAAAAAGCATTCATCAATTTCAAGTAGAATATACATAAATCAACTTAGGAACTTCTCTTTTTTTACACAAATAGCTAAAAACAAGTTTCCTAAATGCTTCTTTTTCCCAAGGAAGAAGACCAGGGAAACTGCAGCTTCCGATGATTGTAACCGACAGAATTAGGTCAGGGAGATGTTTTCCAGTTTCACCTCTTTCTCTTGGCAGCAGCTCCAGAACCCCGACCACCTCTCTTACCTGAGGATTCAGCGGTTGCACTGCTATTAGAACTTCCTCGTCCTCGTCCTCTCCCTGCAGACGTCTTCTTGCTACCTGAACTCCCGGCACCCTTCAAGTCCATGTTTACTTCGATCCCTGTTGTAAAGGAAAAACAGATCCAACAAAAAGATGAGAAAGTGTGTTGAATAATTGCAGAAGAACACAGAAGACGATGGGATTGTTATAGAATGTCACTAACCTCTCAAACTGAGACTCTGAAGATCCGACTGCAATTTTTTCCCAACATCTGCTAAGTTAACCGAAACACACAATAACATAGGTTAAATACTACTTCCAGTTATTGTAAAAGAATTACACTGTTCTTCTATTAGAGACCTACGAATGTTCTGAAAGAAACTGGTATCCATAATGAGATGTACAAACTTCACTGAAATAAGAACAATAGAGTACATGATTCTTCGTAACTGCTATTTTCTTAACTAAAAGATGCAACTCATACCTAAGGAATTATCTTTCTTTAAGATTCTTTAGTCAACTGTAATGGTAAAATTATTGCATGGTACACTACGACACGTTCTTTTAATGGGCAAGCTGAGTAGGGGGTTTACTTACCTATGTCTTCTGTATCTGATGAATTCTCTTCATCTTCAGCAAGTGTTTCATCATTTTCTTCAGCTACACCTTCATCTAGTGGCTCCAGCATTGCTGCAACGCGCTTCTTAGGAGCTTTTTTAATTCCAGGAAGGGTAATTAAATCTGCTGTGCGAATAACACGTGATTTGCTTCCTTTGTTGTATGCCTTTGTCAGTGCCGCTTTCACAGCAGGCTGTACACCATCCAGAAGATTCGGTTGTCCCTGGTGCAAATGCAGTCAACACATGAGCAGATTTTAAAAGTGCATTACAAAATTCTAAAAGTGCATCATAAAACTAACGAGAAGACTGAATGGGTATACCTTGAATTTTGATATCTCCACAATATTATCGAAGTCCTCCTGGCTTATAGAGTAAGAATCCATGAAAGCCACAACATTCTCTACAGCTTCATCCTGGAAATTACATTCATATATAAACTAAGCAAACCAATATACACAATGAAATGCAGGTTAAGCATGAATAATCCACCTTAGGCAGCACTTTTAATGGATCTGTCAACTTCTTTCCAAGAAGAGAAAAGTAGTCAAGTCTCAGGTTTGCCCTGAAATGTATGAGAAGATGTATTAAGCAACTGCCACAGATGCATAAAGACTATTCTACAGGCTTGTGCAGGAAGAAATGACTGGAAGGAACTTTGACCGACTTTCAAATTTTGGAAGATAATTGTACAGAAAACATAAGAATCCTGTCGTAGGTAATACTTCACAAGTTCTTTAGTCAATCATTAATTCTTCGACATTTGATCAACACTTCCACATATGCAGATGAGGAGTAGGACAAGACAACGCATCATGGAAACCCCATTCGCTTGAGAAGATTACCCGTACAGTTCTAACTTCAGCTATACTTATGTAGGCATTGAAAAAGAATTTCAACAAGTTCTGAATCTAAAACAATTGTCTGAAAGCAGGATGTGCATTGTGTACCAGATCTTAATATTCGTATATTGGGAAATTAGAAAGAACTAGAAACAGAATTAAAAACGCCATAAGATGGAGAAAATTAGGAAACAGTGATAAAAATAAAGGAAAACATGTGCTCTGATAGATCAGATTATTGAAAGCACTCAAAGCACAGGATGAATGAGATGACATCTATCAGGTTAGAAGACAAGTGAGAAGAAAACTAATATGTTTTAAACTAAATACAGAAGAGAAAGTACCTTCCCAGATAAGATTCACGAGATGCGAGTAGGTGGACATGCAATTCCTCCAGAATCCGGTAATTCTTTCCCATTGTAGAATTCTTTCCTAGCCAGCCGCCAAACCTGTTAAAGTTGCGCTCTCCCTGCAACATTTAACACCCACTGAAATTTAGAAGGCCTCAAACAAGCCCAGATTGGATGACAATTAAATTATATTCAAGTGAAAACTCTGGGAAAGCTGATAGAAGAAATCATAGGATCATACTGTGACAACACGTTTGAAATACAACTCAACTTTTCGGGATTAAATACCAATACCGAAGCACCTGTAATTATCTAAGAAAGATAATAGTATAACAGTATCTCTAGACCAATTTAAATTCAGCCATCAGAATTAAGAGAAAGGAGCAAATAAGAAATTAGAGATGGAGAACAAGAAGCAATAATCACCTGCTCAAGAGTCTGCCTCTGTCCGTGCAACAAAGAAGCACTAAATGAGGGAGAAAAAAGAGAAAGATATGAAAGAGACCACCAAAATAATAAGATAAAGTCAACTTAAAATGCAACTAAACTCAAGAATCTTAAGAAATGTCTTACGGAATTATGCAAGACGAAAGGCAACCAGCTGGAGAAAGTTGCCATTGCTGGTATCTTCGAATCTGTACATTTATTAAGTCACTGTTTGCAATAGAGTCAGCAGCATGCGCAATTAGGCTCATCCGCTTTAAATCATTATCATCTTTGCCAGCAGAACTTGGTTTGTAGTTGAGATAATTCTCCTGCCATCACATTCAGAAACAGTCATACAAAAACATATGGAGGTCTACTCACAAAATATTTTAAACCATATTGACACTTTCTACGAAGCTTTGAAATCCCAATATAACAATGCAAAACTGATACCAGTTAAATATTAGCTTTCTTTTGTCTACGACTCGTTTATAAGACAATTGATCCAGGATAGATGATACAAATACTGCCCAAACATCTTGCAGGAACAATAGCGAGTAACAAAAGGAGGAGGTACACCAATACTGCAGAGAAGCATGGGCATGGAAAAGAAAAAAGTAAAGTGAACCATCTGAGCATACAGTCAGCTTCATAGTATAGAACCTAATACAGTCAGCTTCATAGTATAGAACCTAATACAACAATGCCCAAACATCTTGCAGGAACAAAGCCCTTCAGGACTTCTACAGACAACTGTCTTCTCTCAAACACAACGAAGTTATCAATATGTGGAAACAAAGCAATCTAAAGGACACAAATAAGCATGTAAGACGAATTAAGGATGGAAGCAAGACATTGGTGTCTTAGAGAATAGGAACAACTAACAAAGAGGGACTAATTATGCTAGCTTAAGCCTTAATATAAGACACAAGAAAACTGTCAAATGGTTTGCTCAGGACATGTCAATTTTAAGATGAATGATCAGGTAACAAGCTCGAAAAATTCATCCGATAAGAGAAACTGATTAGGAATTCAGGACATACAAGATAGAATACGAAAACTTAAAGAGAAAAAAGATAGCAACAAATTGGCCTGCTTCGATTGATTATATAATTCTACTTAAATGAATACTCAAAGTTCTACAAGGTCTCAAAGTGATATAGAGAAAACTAAGCAGGAACATTTTTAAAAAATTAACTTAAATAACAGTAGATTCAAGAAGAAATAGTAACCTTATGGAGTCTAAAGTACCTGGACAAGAAGTGGGACAAGATCTGGGTCGCTCATACTTAGGTCAATTCTTTGATCTATTTTCAAGTTCTTGGAATTAAAATCAAACAGCCTATCAACACAGAAACAAATACAACTGGTCAGTTAAGTAATAAAATTTATGCCAAGAAAATGTAAATTTGTAACAAACTGCAACATCCAAAGCAAGTGACAGAATATACAAATCCTATCAGAGTACAATGTCCAAAGAAGGCGAGTTCCCAATCCTAATATGGCATTTCTGCTTAGCAATACTGGTATGCTGAGTGATGTGAAATATCAAAGAACGTACTTCGTATTCAAAGCCATTGAACTGAGCTTCGGAATTTAGTCAACCCTTCAGGTTGTATTATAGGGCTATAACAAATACCACAGTATATGGTTATGAAAACAGAGCTGTTTTAGTGTTGTTACCTATTGTATTGTATTGTGTTGTTAGTTAAATACAATTGTTCCTACAATCTTATTGTATTGTATCGCTGAATTTATCATTCCATGACGACAAAAAGTCCCATTTTGTGTAAAAACCAATTCGGTGTGATCGTGGCGTTACATTTTGTTTAACTTTTTATTTAACAATCATATTTTATCTTTTATCCTACCCTTTTTTATAGTAGCTCTACCAAATCACCCCCATACCCCATTTAAGTATGAATCTCCTGTCAATGAAATATGGACAATTAGAGGAGGTATATATTTTTTAAGTGCTTTATTCCAAATATTACTAATTATTGTTTAATCTGTTCAATAGCACACAAGGTAGTGGAGATAATGATACCCGCATATATTTGGACAATGGACACAGCACTGAGAGAACCGAACATAGCAATCCATATGTGGGAAAAAGCTTAGACATTATATGGCAAAATACTAGAAACGGAAGCTGAATCTAATACATGCATACTTTTCTACAGCTTTGAACGGTGAGATATCTTCATCCTTTGAACTGCTTAGAAGACGGCGTCTTATGTCATCGTATTGGATGACAGACTTAGAGAGACTCATGTATTGCAATTGATTTAGAGCCATACGCATATCTCCTCCAACACGTTCTGCCAATTCCTCAAGAGCAATCTAGAAAGGCAGAAGAAGAAAAACAATCACGAATCTCAGAAAGTTGACGGATATCTGTCCAGGCAACAAAAAAGAAATTTCTTTTCCTAATGTTTTGTAGTAGCACCACCAAATTATATATGCTATAACACATTTAAGCAGGAAAGATCTCAACAGGTTATATTTTCACAAATACATCTCGCAGTTCCCACCACATGCATAAATAGAAAAAGGTTTTAGTGTACAACTATTACTGGACATTGCCTACTTGATTTTTTTTAGAAAAAAAGAGCTCTTATTATTTTCTCCATAAATTTTCATAGGTCTCCATCTGGGTGTTTCAGACCTGGATTACTTTATCAATGCACTTCAACAAAACCAACAATATCAAACCAAAGTATTAACAGTTCACAAATGTGAACAAGTGAAAACAACATTTTATCAGGGATGATGGCTTTCGAACTCAACAAGACAGTTCCAAATATTACTATCGACATGTACTTGTAAAACTTGTACAAGTTGTTGAAAGAGAATAAACCTCATTGACTTGAATGCCTTCAGCATTTGCTACTTGATTTAACCTCTTTGCCATCTGTCAAAGAATACTCACTATTAGCCATCAAATTTTCAACCAATATTTTCACCTCATGTCTATCATAAAAGATCCAGAAAGGAACACCAAAAACATCGTTGATAGAGAACATTACGGGAGCAATGATGGCTTGGATTTTGTCCATAACGAGGCATGTTGAACAGTGGAAGGTAAACGGACAAGCATAAAACAGTACATAATTTGGCGAAAACTAAGCGCTAAAATTCAAATCAAGTAAAGATAACTAACTGTCAGAAGAAAGAATATATCAACCAACACTACTACTTAAACCATCTTATTATCGCTCTTGTGCATAATATTTTTCTCGCGAGATAACTAATTCCATAGGAACATCCACAAGGAAATATTAAAAGGAATAAATGGTATACATGACCTGCTGCTTAGTTGGTTTACGGAAGACAATTGGTAGGCAATAATTGACAAGGCTCTTCAATTTCTGACTGTAGCGATCATTGCAAATGCAGATAATAGGAATTTTCGAGATCTTGATGCTAGCAATAAGATCGGCAACACCACCTCTATCTCCAGCAGACATGCCATCAACCTCGTCCATAATCAGAACAGTCTTCTGATGGTGTGATCTGCAATTATCAACATGGATTTGGCATATCATACTTTTGATTTTGAACACACAAGAGAGTAGAGGTATACCTGCCAACATTGGCGCTTAGAGATTCATTGCTAACAAGTTCTTTTATGGAATTAGCAGTACTTCCGCCTATTCCTTTCTCAATTTTTGAGTCAGCCTTTCCACGACTATCACTAGCATTTACCTAAACAAAGAAAGGTACTGTTATATTAATCCAACAGAAATGGAAAATGACTAAATTACGGTCTGCAAATTTTCACCGTTTAGAAGGAAAATACCTCGATCGTTTGAAATCCCAGCAACTGACTAACCACTTTTGCTGATGTAGTCTTCCCTATACCCGGCATACCACTCAACAGAACTGCTTTTTTAGCACCAGAGTCAGCCTGTTTTTTCCCCTTACCCTTACTAGATGCCTTTAGAAAATGCTCATCCCAGCTCTCTAGCCAACGCTGAATCTGCTCCACCTGAACATATACCACATAGAAGGTAAAGTTACTCCAGGTGATATCTTTTAATTCAAAACTATAGCCATTAAAGAAAGAAAGCAACGTAGAAGAATACCAGTGACTTGTTCCCTATTATGTCTACAATAGCTTTGGGTCTGTATTTTTCTGTCCATGGTAGTAAAGACTCTTTAGCTTGGGTTTTCTTCTTGGCAGGAGATGCACTACTTTTAGCAGGAGATCCACTAATTTTGGCAGGAGATGCACTAGGTGCCAATTGTTTGGCAGCTAGAATCTTTGTGGCAGTGCTTCCTGTTCCATCACCTAAAAAACCAATGTTGCTGCATTTTAGACCATGAAGTCCCAAAATCGAGAATGTGTAACTATCAACCTCAGTATAAGAGGCACCAGAATGGCAGAAACACAGTGCTCTATTATCTGAAAAACTTGACATCGTAATCTTTCAACAATCCAAGAAAAAGAGATCAGAAGCATTTTCTCCTTTACTTTGTGGAAGTAAGCTAACATCACTCAGCTGTCCAAGTCTATTAACAGGCTGCCCCGTCCTTGTCCAGGACAACATTTTCCTTTCAACAAACAACAATCAGTTGTTTATGCTGCTTCTATCCAATTTTGTGTTGCACGCTTCCCTTATTAGCTTATTTCGAAAAGATAGCCACATCTATGTATTTGGAATATAATAAATTTTATCATCACCATTATAAACCTTTATCATGATTTGTCGGAACGCAATTGATATAAACTCCAACTACTATGAGAACGAAACATGAAAGAACTGGTGGATCTTTCACCACTTTTCATTTAATTACTGATAGTTGGGTGATTTCGGCATTTTGCAAGTTCGCATATATTCCACTTATGTTTCAATAATCTTCCTTTATTTCTTGAACTATGTGCTCAATCCAACAACCAACATAAACTAAGACCTGGTGGTGGTGGTATATATAAACATTCAGTATTCATATCCCTCTTATCTTCAATACTGAAGGCCCCATTGTAGTACATAATTCTAATTCTGGTGCTCTATAACAATCTAATTTTGTGGCACAAGCCCAATGTTTTTAAAAGTAAAATGTGCAAAAAAGCTAAAAGGTCCACTGTCCATGGGCTTGACGAGAAAAGCAAGAACTGAAGTACAAGCTTCTTTTGAGAGAAGCACACAATTTAGTAAAGATTAAACAATACCACATACAGATGAACTTAGGAATCATTTGGTAGTTGGTTAGAATTATGCAGTTATTAGTTAAATATTAGTTATGTAGGTATTAGTTATGCAAGTATTAGCTACTCTGTCTTCTGCTTTGCATAAGATAATACATCTAACTTATGCATGTATTAGTTATACGAAATTCTGAACTGCAAACCAAATGTTGTATTAATTTTATACATGAGTAACTTACTTCCTAACAAACTACCAAACGTTGTATAACTTCAATAAAAATTATACATGAATAAGTACCTCTTTACTAGCTACCAAACAACCCCTTAGTACTATAATAATCAAATTGCAACTAAAATAACTAATCTAAGTATCCAATATACAATGAATTTCATATTAATCCAACTGCTCAAAGTAATCATATATTCATCCATTTTACGGTGGCCAAGTGAGAGTTTATGTTACGCTGGGGTGGCGCTAGGTGGAAGTGAAAATGGGGGGGCTTGGAATGTAGCTCTATTATAACTTATAGCAGGTCCCTTTGAGAGAAATATAGGTGATGAGTTGAAGAATAGAATTGGAGTTGATTATCCCCCCTTTTTACATACTTCGTACCTCCTCGGTACTTTAATAAAATTACTTTACTGATCAAAACAAAAAGAAGTGTTTAAGTTGAATTTGTAATTTGAGGAATAGCCTCTAAAGACTTACACCTCATTTCCTTTTGGTACACCCATGAGGTTTCTTTCTGTATAGATGATTAGGTATCATTTGTATAAGATCATATTTTTGTAGGTTTCTAATTTTGGTATACAGACGCTTTGAGCTCTATGTTTTACAAAATCAATACCTGATAAAATTAAAAGGGGGTTAAACAAATCAGAAATCAACTTCTGGAACTATTTAGGTTTAAATGGGTTTGCCAAAGACAGAAAACTTGTTGTCATACTGGGAAGGTAATTAAAGGAACAAGGACTAAAAGACAATCTGGAGTACAGATCCTGCAGGTGCTATGGACAAAAGAATGCTAGGCGTTTTAAAGGCAAAGCAAGTCGAACAAATTTTGAAGTACAGGTATTCGTTTCACTGGCTGTGTGGTGTAGGCTACGAGATGTATATGATGTGCATTAATGATAGATTTCATTAGCTTTTTAAAAGGTAACTTTTGTACGGAGAATGTTCTTTCTACTTTGTTGTAAAATGGAGAGCTTAGTTATGTATGGCTGCTATCTTAGTGTCTTTACTTTCAAGCATCGTCTTTTTTTAGAATCAATTCAAAGTCTTAACTTGTAGCTGACAAAATTAGAAATGTAAATGATGGTTTCTTATAGTCCCAATCATATAAATGGCTACGGGAATTGATGATACTCTATTCTTTTTCTTTCTTTTTTTTGGACGAAGAAAAAATAGATGCTATTTCTTTCAGTAAACCATTAAAACTTTTTGGTATTCCCAAGTAATTCTTGTTTTAAAGAGTTCGGTCCGACGTTTATACCTAACATTCTCCTGCTTTCTTTTCTTTTTGAAATGTCTGCTGAACATTAGAGGACACTATTCAATAATATCATAAACCAATTCATCTCTTATTTAAGACTGTCTACATCATCATTAGAAATAAACAAGTCACTAACAAAATAAAAAAGGAAAGCAAATGAGACTTGGAATTACTTGTTTTTTGTGAATTTCTCTTTCCAGAAGAAACAATGGTGTCCACAGATTTCTTTGACTCGGGTTGTGTAGCTGATTTTGATTTTTTTGATGACCGGATCAATTCAAACAAACCATCCTCAGTGAGAAATGCAGTTCTAGTAGCAAAGTATAGGATATCAATATTAGTGCAGTAACAAATGAATAAGGTAAATTAGAATATGCATTGACATTAGACAAACCCGAGCTCCTTGGCTTTAGAGGATTTCCGTCCCTCGACGTCTTCATCACATAAAAGATAAGTCTACAACAGAACCATATGAAGAAAACCGTAAAACAATTAGGCTTAGCAAACAAAGAAACATTACATTAAGCAAAATTTGTAAGAGAAGACAGTACTGTTTTCTTGCTAACAGATCCTGTGACACGACCACCATGGCGTTTAATCAAATCCTCAGCTTCTTCTCTTTCTAAACTGAAGGCATGAGAAAGGAATGCATGTCAAGCTTTATGTCATTCACATATCAAATCCCGAGAAAAGATAAAAAAGTAACACAGATGAAAAGACTTGACCAACTACATAGTGCACTCTTGCAGTGGGTTCTACATGCTTATAAGCAATAAAGAAATTTATGCAAAAATCTGTCTGCAGTGTTTATCCCCATACTGTCGCTCAACAATATACAAACAGACTAATAAGGGTACCTGTCGAGAGTTCCACTAATTACAAAAGTCAAACCAGCTAAACAGTCTGGGGCACCTTCAGGAACTTCCTGTGAAGCAGAAAGACCACAATTTATTAACTCAGACAACTTCTTACGAAAAGAAGTTAGCTTCTGCAACGATTCTACCTTTTCCCCCTTGTGAGGAGGATCTTTTCTTTCACCAAAGTTCATGAAACCTCCCCGTCCTCCACCACCTCTACCTCGTCCACCGCTTGGTGCTGCAGATGGTCCTTTACCACCACGCCCTCGTCCACCAGATTTGTTGTCCTTGACAGCTGAAGCATCATCTTCACTTTCATCAAGAGGAACACCCTTTCCGCTGGTCTTAGCTGCCCGTCCACCCCGCCCTCTTCCAGCAGATTTGAGATCAGAATTTTTGTTCTTAAGATCATCATCACTATCATCACTGATCACATTTTTCTGCGCGGATCCCCTTCCAGAGCCACTTACCGACTTTTTGCTGGGAGTGACATCTCTGGATCCCATTGCCGATACCACTGGTACAAAGTCATCTTCATCCTCAGCTTTATGAATTCTTTTTGCAGCTGGTGCTGATGAAATTCCAGCAGCATTTGGAGCTTTTCTTTTTGCTGACACTTCCTCAACTTTTTCTTCCTTTGCCTTAACCTTGTCTGTAGCAAAATATTTACTAGTTTTCCTTCTGTTGGCAGTCTCTTGTCCTTCTTGTACCTGGTGTCCATTAAAAGGAAGGAAAAAAAATAAGACTAACAAAACACGAAAAAAGAGGTTGATGTCTATCATAGGTTCTCAAATTTTAGAAAATTGCATTTGATGATTCCAGTAGAAACACTCCACCATCTCAAAAGCTATTCCTACAAGCTAAAAAACCCAACAATGAGATAATTAAAAAATTTAAAGATCAATCATTATTTTTTGTTGTTGTATTTAGAATAATAAATTCATATATTGATATGTATTCTAAATCAACAAAGATCAACCATTTCTTTCTTTCAGTTTCTCCTTAAATAACTCAAGGAGAACACCAGGGTCAAGGCAATGGATAGAAAATAAATTCGTCCAAGATATCTCAAAAAGAAGCAACAAGCCAGCCCCCACAGTTCCAGGCAGACAGAAAACTTTCCAAGAAACGGAAATAAGAAACAAACAAGTAACAACATTATCAAACACTTGAGTCATACAATCAATCCAGATTAGATAAAAAATCAAGTGAACTCGGAAAAATGATCCATATTCAAGATACTTACCAGGTTTTCTGGCTTTGGACTAGTGGGAGAAGGCTTTTCTGCTGCACTATTCTTGGACATGCTCCCATTACCCGTGCCTTTGTCATGCTGCTTCATGAACCATTTCCTGATATCTGACTGTATTACATAGAACTATACCATCAAACTCTCAAACCATGCATCTCTATTTCTAAATATTTTTAATTTTATTTTTGTTTTTATTACCCTCCTGGTGTTCGGGACAGATTTCGCGCACCTCGACTAATTCCATAAGATACCTGCGACCTCCCACCATCAACAGGTATCAGGTAACTCTATCCACCCAGGCTAGACCAGATGGGAAAAGATCACCTACTGTTTTTGACTTCATGTCTCCGATGGGAATTGAACTTGGGACCTCATGTTGCTCAACCCACGTCAATGACCACTAAGTCTCACCCTTGGGTGCTCAAATTCTAAATATTTGAAGAACACACCTTTTAACCCACATACTTCAATCTGAAAATCCCAGCAACCACGACTTAATACTTGCTATCTGTTAAAGGTATATTCTATAGGTGTGCAACTGTATGTGTTTGAAAAGGTATAGTGGAAAAAGTGAATTTCACAAAGACCCAAATATGATTAGCTATGAAGTTTAAGATACTATTTCTTATATACAAATAGCTTATGAAAATGTCAAAAAAAAAAAACAATAGTTTGTTTGGCCAAACTTCTAAAATCAACTTGTTATGAAAAGTGGTTTTTCCAAATGTGCTTTACAAGAAAGTACTTTTGGTGAGAAGTAGTTTGGCCAATAAGTTTGAGCAGCACTTTTAAACAGCAATTAGTAGTTGACCAAACTTTCTAAAAGTGCTTGTAAGTATATTGTCCTCACAAGTGCTTTGCAAAGGAGTATTTTTTGGGGAGAAAAAATCTACTACTTCTTTTAGCTACTGAAAAACAACTTCTACTACTCTCTGGAAGCACTTATTTTCTCCTAAAAATTTGGTCAAACACCTCCCTCCTCTTAAATGTAACCATTGTTGGCCTCCCAAAAACTTGACCAAACAGACTATTAGTTTGGTCGATAAAAAAATGCACATTGGTAGTTAAGCATATTAGAATCTGGGATAACATAAAATTGGCACAATACAGAGAAATTTAACAAGGGGACTAAGTTTGTGGGAGAGAAAAAAAAATGAATTTGATTTAGTGAAGGCATTATAGACTCTGAGACAAGTTTGAATTGGTACAATAAGAGAAAATTTTCAGCCTACCACAAATCAAAAAATGCTCAGAATCCCATGCATTAAAATCTTACAAACCACTGAAAAATAATGCAGAATAATAATATTTACCATGTTTGTGATCTGCAATTAGCAATATCTCCTTCAAAATTTCAATTTATCTTCAAGACTACCAACCTACATACAAAATAATGAACCAAATGTATGAGTAATTTCGCTATACAAAATAATGAACCAAATGCATGAGTATACTTTCGCTATACAAAACCTCGAAAAACGAGACAATTGCATGTAAAATTGCTGCGAAAAAAAGGGGAAAGTAAGAGCATATTACCAATCGTAGTAGGTTTCCGACAAGTTATGGAGTCACCGACGACGAGTTAACCGGCAGTTACATTCAACGTCGCTCCGGTGAAGTAGGGTTTAGAGAATTGAGACTTTTTTTTCCGGCAGTGGGGTTTAACCGGTTAATCGAGACAAATTGGAATAATATAATTTCATGGGCTTTAGAATAGAGTAATGGGCCCAAGCCCAATAAATTCAATTTTATGGGCTTACTAAATACATATATATTTTTCTTTATATTACTAAAAACATAACATATTTGAAAAAATTGAAATGGTAAAAAAAATTAAAATTGGAGTTAATTTTTGAGATTAATAGGAGATAAGGTGATAATTAATGGGAGATTGAGTAAAAGGAGAATTAATTTCGTCAAAATCCGAGCTTCGCGACTAAGAGAAATCTCGATCAAAATTCAAAAAAGACTATCTACTAGGCCTGAAATCCGAGCTTCGCGACTAAGAGAAATCTCGACCAAAATTCAAAAAAGACGATTCACTAGGCCTACAAGACTTGAAAGTCCCATCAACAAAGTACTTAAGGTATATTATTGTTCTTCGAGCTGAAAAATATATGTCGATTCAAGCTCAAGAAACGCTTGAACTCAGTACTTCTAGTCTTATCCATTTTGTTTGAAATATAAAATAATTTCAATGGTAAAAATTAAATATATTTCCGTAAATGATATGAAGATACCATCCGTCATATTTTGGGGACATTATTGTCCTTGTCGTCTAAAAATTAAAGTATATATGTCATTCAATCTAAAAATTAGAGCATATATAATCTTTTCTTGATATGATTAAAGTAATAAGTGTGTGTATATATATATTCTAAATATTTGGCAAATAAAATAAAACGTAAGGGTAATATAGTAATTTCAACAACTTGAAAGAAAAATATATATTTAGGCCTCATTTGTTTGCACTTAGTGGAGGTTTGAATCTTAATCATTCAAATTCAATTAAGTATGTTTGATTTTTAGGTCTAAATCAGAATCATTCAGATTCAGCCATTTGAATTCATTTGTTTTAATTTTTAAAAAATCTCTTAATGAGTCTGAAGAGGTCTGAAACAATCAGAGATATGTAGAAGACTATTAACAACGTTCAGACTCATTTAATAAGTTATCAAATAATAAACCATCTTCTCTGCTTTAAGTGTAAATAATAAACCATCTTCTCTGCTTTAAGTGTGCCTTTTATCGAATAACTAAAAACTTTTTCTCTTTTTTCTCAATCAAACATTATTTTTTCCCTCTTGAACTGGTAAGTCTTCATAAATCCTTCCAAGTTATTTTTTATATTAATAATTTTCTTATATTGACTGTGTCAAGAACAATGTTGGTGTAATGGCGTTTATAAAGATTTTGGAATAAAAAAAATTTTACTTCCAAATCATAATTATTAGAACTCTTAAATTTTTTTTATCAAAAGTGATAAATTTTGTTGAAATGAATTTTTTATGATATTTTATTAATTTAATATTAATTTCACATGCCCATTCAGATATTAAAAACAAACAACATTAATTATTTAGTGTTCAGACTTAGAGACCACATCTTAATATTCATATGTATATCAGATCAAAACATCTGAATCTTCATGCAAATCTTAATATTCAGATGTGTATTCATATTCAAACCTCTTAATCTTAATTGAAACAAATAAGGCCTTACTAATAAAACGCAATCCACGACAGCATTTATGTACAGAGAGTAGTCGCAACGTAGTAATTTCAATAATTTGTAAGGAAAACATACCTTTACTCATAAAACGCAATCCACGACCGCGATTTACGTACAAAGAATAGTGGCAACGTAGTAATTTTAACAATTTGTAAGTAAAACATATATTTACTCATAAAACGCAATCCACAACCGTGATTTATATACAAAGAGTAGTGGAAACGTAGTAATTTCAACAATTTGTAAGAAAAACATATATTTACTCATAAAACGAAATCCACAACCGCGATTTATGTACAAATAGTAGTGACTATATAGTAATTTCAACAATTTGTAAGAAAAACATATATTTACTCATAAAACGAAATCTACAACCGCGATTTATGTACAAAGAGTAGTGGCAATATAGTAATTTCAACAATTTATAAGGAAAACATATATTTACTCATAAAACGCAATTTATGTACAAAGAGTAGTGGCAACGTAGTAATTTCAACAATTTGTAAGAAAAACATATATTTACTCATAAAACGCGATTTATGTACAAAGAGTAGTGGCAACGTAGTAATTTCAACAATTTGTAAGAAAAACATATAGTTACTTATAAAACGCGATTTATGAACAAAGAGTAGTGGCAACGTAGTAATTTCAACAATTTGTTAGAAAAACATATATTTACTTATAAAACGCAATCCACAATCGCGATTTATGTACAAAAAGTAGTGGCAACGTAGTAATTTCAACAATTTGTAAGAAAAACATATATTTACTCATAAAACGATATCACAGAATGCGATTTATGTAAGAAAAGTAGTGGCAATGTAGAGAATTCAACAATTTGTAAGGAAAACATATATTTACTCATAAAACGCTATCACTGAATGCCGATTTATGTACAAAAAATAGTGGCGATATAGTAATTTCAACAATTTGTAAGAAAACATAATTTTACACATAAAACGCTATTACTGAACACGATCTACTCATAAATAGTGATAGTTCAAAATAGAAAACGACAACATACAATAGTTGAGTCGTGAAACTCACAAAAAAGAGGATAGTTCAAATGTTTTCTTGACCAACTCTGATAAAAATAGATAAAATGCAAATATCAAAACATTACAATATATATACCCACTGAAATCCGATAAATATTTAGTGAAATCCCATAAATGTAGTCTCGAGAAGATAAAGAGTGTACATAGAACTTCATCCTTCCTCGTGGAGGTTGAGTGAATGTTTCAGAGGAATTACCCATATACAACGTAAATAAATAAAACTGAAGTATGAGAGATCTCCAGCAAATAACAAAAACTGGTGACTGTCATTTTTAAAGTTAATGACTGCCATTATAATCATAGTTCAAGATGAAAATCTCCAATTTTTTCAAATTTCACCAGCAATGAAGAATCCCAGCCATTCAATATTTTCATACCAACCATAAAAAACGTGTCTCCATCGACGCCCCTGGGTGCTTATAAACAGGATTTCTCTCTCTCGTTATAGCATAAAAGACTCAAATTTTGGCAATGAACCTTCAAGCAAAGTCCAGCTTTCACAATCCCGCAAACATGATAAGTCTTTTTGACCTTCCACCGACTGCACGATATATCCAGATCTGCACGAAAGAACCAGTTTAGATATGAAATGCAGAAAGGGTCATGTGGCATTCAATCAGCAGGTTGCAGCTCAATGAGGTAAAGTTGAATATTGGAAGATATTGATGGAAACAAAAACCGCACATTTAAGTCATGTTGTTTTTTTCCACTCTGGGATAGACACATTGCATTATGCGGTCCCATCTGGAAGGATATCTCTTCAATAAGATGACCACGATTAGACACATATTTGTCTGTGTAATTAATACTAAAAGTAAGTGGCTGCACTAACAGCTAAAAATGATTAAAAGTTCGATTGAGACGACTGGCTCATTTTAAGCCAGATCATAAAGGATTATCTAATTAAACACCCCTATAAAATATCATCTCATTTGTGTTTGTAAGGCATACAATCCACCTTATCTTCAAAACACTACTTCTACAGTTCTATCTAAGCATCTTGCACTTTTCCCCTCAACTGCAGTCTCTTTGAAAACTTACAAAAGAAGATGGCAAATGCTCGTATTGCTAGGTTTGTTACAGAGGTAGCACCACCACAATTTGTAAATGTCATGAGAAACCGAGCCTCAAAGATGCTAGAAACCATCAAAGAGGAGGAGAGAGAAGCTAGCACAAGCGAGTCACTTTCTCTGAAGAATTATTCCACTTCATCATCTTCAGCTTATTCTGCTTCATCATCAAATGCAAAAAGTTCTAAATATTTTCTCAAAGAAGTTCAGAGGTCGTTTTCTGCATTTGGCAGCTAAAGTATATACTCTAGCTTGCTAAGAATGCTTTAAATTTTTGACCAGTGTATTGATTCCTTTTCTTTTCCTTCAGCAAATTCTCTCTCAGTAAGAAAGTCCGCAAAAGCTTTGGACATAGTCCAAGCTCTGCTGAGACTAGATAAGTACTGACTGTATGTAACCTCTATGGGAAGATGAAAATTCTTCCTTCGAATTATCAGTAAATTTCTGTAGCTACTTTCTGTAAATATTACCAAATTTACTTCAGTACGGCTATGAAAATGTTTTGCACATCTTGTATCCTGTTTCTTTTATACATAATTAATATATGTTATTCTACAGAACAGGCACTAAGGGCTTAACAAGCATACGGTAACACTCTATAGTTCAGTGAACTCAAATACATCTAACGACAGCAGAATGAGAGAATGTAGTAACATTCATACTATTCATACTAAAATAAACAGTTGAGACCTTATCATTCCCCCCTTCCCTAGAATATAATACTAACTGATCCTGCCCCCAGCACTTCTTCCTTTTTGTTCTATAAAGGTGCTTTCCTCCAAACCACAAGAAACCTCCTCCATTACTTTCCCCCTCCCCGCAGTTTTCCTCTGTGACTCTAGTATCCTTGGACTTTTAGTTTTTCTCCGCTTCCTTATCTCTCCTTCCCACCCCAGCCTCACTTTTCTAGCCTCCAAAAGTCTACCCCTTTTGAAGCCTACTCTCCCTTCCATAAAAAGTTCCCTCGTTCCCCCAGTCCCTATCTCTGTTTCCTTGCTATCAAGAATTCACTCTCCTCCTCCTTCGAATTTTTAATTTAAATAATACATCATTAAAGAAAATTAACAAAAACAAAACAAAATTTTATATTTGAAAGTTCTGACGGACAAAAAGCTGACTGCTGATGATATTTGTGAAAATTACCGTGCATAAACATACTCTGCGGTGACGTTTTACCATCCAGCTAAAATTTTCTAAAGACAGTGAGTGTCTCTTCTTTTAGCGACGTCAGAAAGCTTTACATAATCCTGGGTTAAATTTTCTTTTCTGAGTTATATTTACTACCTGTCCCACATCTTGTTTCATTTAAGGTCAGATCAAACAACGTTTAAAGTTTACATATCCTCATTATTTATCTGTACTAGTGGATCCCACTACCATTCTTAGCACATATTCCTCTTGTTCTAACCTTTCATCCTTAACTATCTACTGAAAGAAGAAAGAGCACAGTTAACAGAATCACAAAGCTTTCTCCTCCAAAACTAGCAGCAACGGCGATAATCAGATTATTTTCCTTGTTTACCACATATTTGAGAATTTTTCCAACAAAATTGATATTCGTATAATTATTTATCATTTGTCGAAAAGTATGAAAAGCCAGAAGTCCTGGGATTTTGTTTAAGAATATCATGAAAAGGCTGGTTTAAACTCTTGCACGATTCCACACCCTCTTCAACAGCCATGACATTTAGAAGACTCTAGAAAAATGTAATGTACATCTCTCAAACTAGAACACCAACAAATAGTTAAATTAGACTTTGAAAAGTAGGTTCATAAAGGAGAAGAAATGAAGAAGTGAAAGAAGAATAGAAGGATATACAGAGGCTGAAACTCTACAAACCAACAGAAAGACTGGAGAAATAAGCAAGAAATTAAACAAGACAATTACAGGAGAGAGATGGGGCAAAATAATGGTGAAAGTTGGACCTGCCTAACCATAGTAAAAGGCAGAGCAGCACGAGTTGGACTATATTATTAAGGTAAAAATGACATTAACTGAAGGTTCTTCACGCAAACAAGTTAAGACATGGATGTTGACATTATGTTAGAATGGTGATAAGTAAGTATCTGAAACATAGATTTCATAATGAACAAGTCTCTAGTAGACAACCCACATAGAGGGATTAAGAGATGCTAATCAAGTTACCAACTGCAATTCTAGAAAGATAAAAATGTGCCTCGTCTCTAGTGCAACCCTTTGTTACATGCACAGAACCAATCACAATAATTATTCATATGCTGTGAATCACTAAATGCAGAAAGGGCATGTGGCATTCAATCAGCAGGTTCCAGCTCAATAAGGAAAAGTTCAAATTTGGAAGCTTTCAAAGGCAACAAATACCGCATATTTAAGATATGTTGCTTTTTCTACTAATGCATAGACACATTGCATTCCGTGGCTCCATATATGAGGATATCTCATCAAGAGGATGACTATGATGATAACATCTTTATCTGTTCAATTAAGACTAAAAGTAAGTGACGGCACTAACAGCAAAAAATAATTAAAACCTTGATTAAGACGACTGGTTCAATTTAAGCCAGACCATAGAAGGATAATTTAATCCACAACCCTATAAATTTCAGCCCTTCTGTGGTTTTTAACTCATACAACCCACCTTCTTCTTAAACACTACTTATACAGTTCTACCAAGCATCTTGGACCTTTTTTCTCAACTGCAGTCCAAAACCTACTAAGAAGATGGCAAATGCTCGTATTGCTAGGTTTGTTACAGAGGTAGCACCACCACAGTTTGTAAATGTCATGAGACAGAGACACCGAGCCCCAAAAATGCTAGAAACCATCAAAGAGGAGGAGAGAGAAGCTAGCACAAGCGAGGCACTCTCTCTGAAGAGTTCTTCGCTGTCATCATCTCCAACCTATTCTGCTTTATCTTCAAATGCAAAAACTTCTAAATATTTTCTCAAAGAAGTTCAGAGGTCTCTTTCTGCATTTGGCAGCTAAACTATCTACTTAGGCTTGCTGAGAATACTTTCAATTTTCAATTTCCTGACCAATCTACTGATTTCTTGCTGTTTTCCTTCAAGCAAATTTTCTCTTAGTTACAAAAGTCAGCGAAGATTGGACTGTAAACTCTTATTGCCAGATATATTGACTAAATGTAACTGTGTGAGAAAGGAAAATATCTCTATCGAACTATCAGAATACTTATCACTACTTCTTTTAAATTTTCCCAAAGTTACTTCAGTCCTGTTAAGTAATTGCTATGCACGGTATTTTTTATTCTTTTTTATGGCAGTGTCCAAGCCAGCTTCTGCGCACCTTGATTATACCACTCGGTGCCTGTTGCTCCCACCAACCTACGGGGCACCTCTGCCCACCAAGACTTAGGTAGATGGGAAGAAATCACCTAGTATCTTTGTCTCGGTTGGGAGTTGACCTTGAGATTCATTTACCACTAGGTAACACCCTTGGGTGCCAGTATTTTTGTTTCTTTTATAAATAAACAAAGTATTCTATTCAACAACATGCATTTAGACCAGAACACAAGAATGTAGAAACATGCATACTTTATATGAACAATTTTACATCAAAAGAACTTACTTGCCTACTGGTTGTCACACATCATTTCTTCCCTTTGTTCTTAAGTAGTGCTTTTCTCCCATATCAGAAGAGACAATATGCTAAATTGGAGAGTCAGCTAACCCTCCAACTTCAATATACCCAACCCAACCCTCCCCACTTCTCCTTACTCCTAGTTTTTCTAGTCTAGTTCCCTTATTCTCTCTTTCAGCTTATAGAATACCAGCAGTTTCGCTAAAATCACGACCTTCAAATTCTAATTAATTTTAAAAAAACAGTGCAATTTTGAACAAAAGGCAGAATGATATCCACCTTATCTTAATATTTGCATCGAATGGATGAAGATAGCTGCAATAGATAAAGAGAAAAATATAATACAAAAAACATGAATTACCACTGTCAGGAGAAACAACATTGGAACACTTCCTTCTGTACTCTTTTGTGTGGCATCAATTAGAGAACCAAGAACAATGCCAACAATCTATAGGCAAGCAGCAAGAAACATAATGACATAAAAATGAAAATAACACAATAATATCAAAATGTAGCGACTCACCATGATATAATCATAAACTGGTTGGCAACAGAGTACTACACTGTCTAGGAAAATGGAAGTTATCACCATGGGCAGCTTTTCACTTCTCCTTTCTCACATTTGAAGATTTCAACCTAATCTTGCTTTTCTTGAACTTTTCTGATTCAACATTCTCTCTTAGTTTCTCCAATGCTAGAAAAAAATGAAAAGAGGTTCAATTAAAAACACAGCATAACTGAAGAGTAACTGCAGAAATAGTGCTATACTTTATTTTTCTCCAAAAAAAGGCTAATAGGAGATCTCAAGGTTTAAGTATCAGATCAAGTGAATAAACTACTGCTGGTTTCTTCATAATTTCAACATGTAGAGCATTCACTTTGATTGCCAAGTACTAACAAATATGTTGAAAATGGAAAAAGAAAGTACCTAAGGTGTACACAGAGCGAAGTGACTCTATCACTTCAGAAGAAGCAGAATAGGTAGGGCAAGAGTTACAGTCAGCTTTTTGCAGCATCTTCTTGAAGCGCTTCACCTGCAAAATTAGCATTGGAGAATTTCATATTTAAACAAGAATTTGCTGCAAAAGGAACAGAAAGTTTAGTGCTTCAAAGTCTCAAGCTGAACCCCTCCATCGAAAAAGTATATCGTGGAAAGGTTGAGAAACTTGGTGGTATGCCCAGTTAATAGTCTGAGATTAGATCATTTATTTTTATAAGTATGTTCATACATCATACAAAGTATCCTAAAATATTGAACACTCGAAGTGCTGTGACAGTTAAGATCACAATATGAATACAAGCACATTGAGTGGAGAAGTGTTTTAGTTTTTATGGCAGCTTATGAGGGACAAGATCTGACCTTTTATTTTTCAATTTTGTGGCCATTTGATGGCGGTGAACCAGTTCAAATAGTCAATTTTTTTAACCAATCTGCTCAAGTAGTCATTACTCTACTGTTAAGAGCAAAACTTTACTTAATGAAGCACCCCAAAGAAAAAGGTACATATTATGTTAATAGCATGCTATAGTCAGATATACTACATCAGGTAATTTACAAAATTTTAGCTTCCTTAGGGGCCAGAACTTAATGTCTCAATACGAAAAATAGATCATTTAAAGTTGCAATCTTTAAAATATTTGATCCTCATCATATAAAAAGACATACCTCATCTTTATGCATTAACGTAAAGCAACATCCACTTAGGCCCGCTCTTGCAGTTCGGCCTGCCCGATGAATAAATGTTTTTATATAAGCAGGCATATCATAGTTTATGACATTTCTCACTCCTTCAACATCCATTCCACGAGTCATAGCATCAGAGGAAATAAGCACTTGCACTTGCCCTGACCGGAAAGCCCTCAACGTCTTGCTGTAAGGCAAAAGTTCAGTATATTAAATTGCAAGATGGTAGACTTAAATAAGCAAGACCAATCACACAGGTGGTTCACCATAAAACATTTCCCAAATAAACGTAACATCACCATTCAACAACGTCAAGTATAAATATGACGACCAATTATCTCTATTTCTGTACTTCATTTTCTTTTTTTAAATTTTCCATTAATCCAACTTGCAAGTAAAAGCTCTAGTAAAATAACTAAGATGGCAATCAAAAAGAACAATGCGAAACATGCCCTTTCTTCTCCAGAGACCTATAAAGGTTTTTCTTTTTTTGATAAAGACAAAAACCTATAAAGGTTAACAGCCTTCAGAGCTGACTTGGATTAGGTAGACAGATTCCCAGTGAGATGCAGACATTCCATATGGCCACAAAAGATTTTCTGATGCATTTCTTGATCATAAAATTGTCTCTGATACATAATTTTGGAACACTGGAAACTATCCTTTTTGTTCGAATCCCAGATATTTGTGCACTTCTAATATAGCACTTTGGAAACCAACAAAACATAACAGATTTTTTAACAGTATAGTAGTACATTATAGCTTTTTGGCAACCTAGATGGCTCCACGCATGACTACATTCATTAGCTTCAGTAAGACGTGAACTCATGCAAAACATCATAATACCGTTGACTGCAAACTTCTCTAGCAAATGACATAATGTAACAGCTCAGAGCTAAACTCAAGTTGTTAAGCAAATGTATCTAAGTACCTTCTTACAGATTGCCGCTGAAGACGAGAATACTCCTTGAACTCAATTTGCAAATTGTCGAAAAACTTGAGCAAAGTGCATAATCTATGAGTGGACTCCACCGATGATGTGAAAACAATTGATTTCTCCCCTTGCAGACTTTGAAGAAGGGAAACTAGATAAAGTGGCTTAAGCTTCGATTGACATAGCTACACAAAAGGAAGGTAAAATCACTGTATCAATCATCTGCCTGTGAGGAACAGTGTAGTGCAAAATAGCACAAATCCATTGGGAGGGAAAAGTGATAAGTCAGGTGCAAACTTTTCAAAATGAAGCACTCAATGTATTGAAAGCACAAAATTGCCCAGTATAATGAACTTAATACTGATAACACTGAATTGCAAACTTCAGCATCCAGAATCCGACAATGGAAGTATTTATTCAACAGCTCAAACAAACCATCATTAAAATGTAATTTGGAGAGGAGTCCTAATACTCAAATAGCAAAAATCCCTATTCCCCCCGCCCCACATTTTATTTTGAACTGGGCGAAAAAAGGAGGAAAAATGTATGGTTGATTTCTTTTTCATCTTTCAATGTCTGTTGAATAATCGACTGCTTCACACCAAATAAATTACTTTCTGAAGAACACTGCTTCCTCATGAGGCAATAACCTTCACTTCGCATTGCTTTGTTGCTTCGTTTTTTAGATAAACCTTCAGCATCACTTCGTCCCTTTAAGCAATGAACTGAAGGTTTTTAGACAAACCCTCACTTTGCATCACACAGTCACTTTCAGCAACAAAATGCTGGTTTCTAATAACAGTGGTTTGGACTTTAGCAATGTATGAGTGTCTCAAGACAATCCACAAGGTCGATGCACAAGACAGTTTAAGCCAATGCTTTTAGATAAAGTAAGGTGCTGCTAACAAACATTTAGACCACGCTGAAGCAGTAGTTTCTGCTATGTTAGCATATCTACAGAAAACAACACAAAGTTCCTCCTAGACAACATTATGACAAATTCGGAAATTCCTTATGACTTGGAGACAACAAACTGATTCTTTTTTCCTTCTGTTTGACAGGTTAGGCAACAATGACTTCTAATTGTTATGGAATAATAATAATTTTTGGAATAAGAAGATAAATCATCAAGATAAATGATATGCCGTGATAAACACATTTTCAGGCATATCAGGAAAAAGAAGATAATATATAAATAGGCCTTATTTCATTCAAATAGCATATACCCACCACTTTAAATGATTTGAGTTCTTCAGGAAGCTTGTAACGTCTTTCTCCAGTCGTCAAAAGAAGAGGATGATGCAAATCAAGCTGAGCAAGTTTACTTGGGTCTTGTGTTAGTGTGGCTGATAAAACCATCTTTGCCAGCCTTGGATAGGCTTTTCCCTTGAACCCTCTTTCAGTGCCCCTGCATTATTTTTAAAGCAATGCTTAAGAAAATCCCACGCATGAAATGGACAAAGAGAAAACAAGACAGTGAAATGCCTATGTGCACTTAAAGTTAAACCTATTCAATACCAAGGAGCAAACTCAATGAACCATCAATTGATTAAAGGCAAACCTTCCAACAAAGTTGGATCCACTAACAAAATAATACGTTATGCATTTCTTTTTGATGACAGTGGTGTCTGGCCCAACTTGTGTGCACCTCGACTTTTCACCAGGTACTTGCTAGGCTACTACCTCCCGTCAACACACGTATCGGGTAATTCTGCCCATCAAAGTTAGAGTAGATTGAGAAAAAATCACCTAGTATTTTTTTTTTTACCTCAGCTAGAATTTGAACTTGAGGCCTCCACTACTTCATCAACGACTAGGTCACACACTTAGGTGCAAGGATAGATACATTTTCATGATCAAAAGAGTAAGAAACTCAACATTGAAAAAGATATGACAGACAAAGAAAGAATCAAACAAGACTTGAATAATCAGACAATTACTTCTTGATTAGAAAAATGTCAGGTTACGACTGAGAAAAAGATGTGCATCTAAAGAGGATTCCACATATAAGCAACTCATAAGGAATAGGGGATAGGCATAACAACATACATTCTTCTGATTGTCTTCAATGAACCATAAGTGCAAGGAAGAAGATTAGCAACAGAAGGGAAGTTCCCATCAACAGAAGAGCTGGTCAACTGAATGACGGTAGGAAGCCAGGACTGATAAGCTTCCCTTAATAATCTATCTGTTTCATCTACAACCTACATGATACCAAAATGTAAGTCAAATGGTTTCAACAAAGTAAAACGAAGAAAAAAGAGCAATGTCAAAATATGTGCCTCACAATCACAAGACCTACTACTACCACTTTGAAGTTTTAATGATTAAATTGAAACGAATCTTCATTGTCTGAGTTATTAGCATAGTAGCATTCCAAGTTTTCCTTTTCAAATAGGAAAGAGGCATTGAAGTGAATAAAATACTAAACATATATTGATAATTTAATCAAGTAAATATAATTTTATCAATAATGGGAAAGCTCCCACATAAAAAAAGTAGGGTAATTACAGAAGCATGTGATTCTCTACAAAAGACATCCACGCTCTATGCAGATAGAAACATCACGGATGCACCAAAAACACATATAAAAGGAAACTATTCCTTAGATGAAAAACTCAGCTCTTTGCTTCAAAAGATCTACTATTTCTTTCATGTACAGTTATTATTGATTGATCAATGCATTGATATAATTGAAGATAGTGGAAACACGTTAGAAATCTATTAACATATAGACAAATAGCCAGCACATTTGCTGCCAAAACATGCAGTATAGTTGCCTGTTTGTTTTACCTCGGTATCACCCTACTTCTAACAAACTTCTTTCAAATTATCAAAAGGTACTTCCCTGCGCTTTGTTTTTCTAGTACCTTATAGACTAATGATGCAGACCCTAAGGAAAAGCAAAAAGATAGCTGGGACACTTAGCTTCTTAAGATGATCAAGATATTCTCAGACAGAAATGCTTTATGCCATGATATTAATCGCAACAAAGAAGAGAAGAATAGTGGACTAATGTAAGTATACATACTAAGAAATTCTAAGCAACTAAATATATGCAGCTTACAAGATAAGATAGATGCTCGAGCGTAAAACCATTAGTGTTATTAATGTGGTCCATCAGTCTTCCAGGAGTTGCCACTAATATGTCTACTGCACTTTGTAACTCGTATGAGAATTCTTCAGGATCATAACATATGCCATACTCAACATTGGGTTTCTTGATGAGTTCGGAGATTTCATCAGAAATTGATGACTGACCTACTGCCAAGCCGACAGACAGACCTACTGCAGGTGCAAGAGCAGAGAAGACCTCTTTGACCTGCGAACGAAAACAAATGGTAAAAACATAATCTTCCCCTGAGAAGCTAGTTATCTATCTTTGCATGTGAAAGTGTAAATAGAGAAGCCTTAATGAATAAATAATTGCATGTGCAAATGCAAATGTAGATACGTCACTGGTGTGAAGAACCCACTTATAAGTTGGAGGTATTCTTACAATAAGCCTCTGAGGCACTACAACAAAATTCCACCAATTATCAGATTGCAATTAAAAGAATTCAACCAAAGTATGAACTTGTAGTGTTTTTTTCTTTTGTGATAGGTAGCATGAAGTCATAGTTTTAACGCGACAAAAACCTAGGATGATCATTGACTTGCCCATCAAAAAAGAAAATGCCAAGGGAGGAGGCAAAGTTGGAATGATAGTTGATCCAAAGAGTTACATGTAATTGAGAATTTGTGTAATTATGCACTGCGCATTTTCCAAAACTAAAATTAACAAACTACGGTGAATAACCTGCAAAGCAAGGTCTCTAGTAGGCAAGACCACTAGTGCCCGAAGACATTTAACAGCACGTGTAGACAGCATCTGAACAATTGGTAAGGCATAAGCAAGAGTTTTCCCGCTCCCTGTAGGTGAATTTATACAAAGGTCTCGTTCAAAAGAGCCAGGTCCAATAGTCTCTTGCCAGACAGCAAGTTGCACGGGAAAGAGTGAAGTGATGCTCATATTCTTCAAAGCCGCCACTAACCTAGTGAAGAAACATGTACGGGTAAGAGTAAGTTGGAGTGGAAGTGTACAAGATCCAGTATGAAGTGTCAAGAAAGCATAAGGTATAAGTGTAACAATGTTTCAACTGCAATCATAGCAATTTTATTACAAACAGTAAAGCAAAGTAATAAACTGAGGATATTTCGGATAAGAAATGAAATATTAGCTGTCGAAACTGAGAGGTGATCATTAACAATAATTTCCATTTTGTTCATTCGTTATCCTGAAGGAATGGAGAACTTTTTTTCTTTTGAGATGAGGTTTGCCAACTGGCCATGCTATTGATAGGGAACCAGCAGACAATACAAACGATTGAAGAATATGGATGAGCAACATTCATATCTGTCTGTACAAATATCATAACAAGACGGAAACAAGACATTTGGAAAATGTGTCCCACACCAGGTCATATAGTTCTTCAGCTGTAAGATAGTATTAGATCTCAGTGATCGTATTCTAAATGATGCCATTGATAAAAATACTTTCAACACAGTTTTCTCAACCCGTTTGTATTCCATCCCTCCCATATTATGGACACCATTTTGGTGCATGGAGTTTAACTTGTTAGTTTATGTTGTATAGGATACAAGTAGTACTTTAAGTTTAAAAGTTTAGTTTGATAAATAGAACATACAATATACCATCAGAATTTAGTATTTGATTAGTTAAATAATTTGAATACTCGAACCTGGTAAAAGGCTATAGAAAGCAACATATTAATAAAAGGGAACCAAATGATTTTGCCTCATCTCAAAACAAAAAGAATGTCGTATAGATTGTAAGACAGAACGATGATAACCGAGAAACCACGAGGGCAGTAGCACCTTAAATACCAAGACCATACAAAAACTACATCCCAGAAACTCAAAACATTTTCTATCAAGAAAATACAAAATTTACAGAGCATAAAAAAGTAAAAGACATTGTTAGCTCTATTACAAAAGGCTAATCTAAAATTAAGGAGCTATCAAAGTCCAAAAAACCTTCAGGGGCTACAGAAACTTGTGGAAACTCGAACATCTCTAAATTCTGGGATATTTAAATCAAACTACTCCTACACCAAAAGGATAAGCTTCCTAACCATCTATTCTTAATAATAACAGAAATGTGACGCTTTTTATCAAACAATAAATCTCCTATTGATGTCTTGCCATATGTTATTCGTTCAGAATCAACAAGGGTTCGTAGAACGAAGGGAGTGTATAACTGGGATTTCATTCCACTTTTTTTGTTCGTAACGAGGAACAGATAGAATGGAGTTCTTCACAAATGATCCCTCCAAATTATCTTAAATCTTCTGATCAAAACCTGGTTCTGACAACATTCATTCAACTGTTTGAACGAGTTACTAATATTTTTAAAAGATAGAACCTTTATGCAGTTTCTGAAGATGTATTCACTCCATTTCAACTTCTTTGTCTTCTTCTCCTTTTTAATCCATTTAAAAAAGAATGTATATTTCCAACATCAAGCCTATTGGAACTAGATAGAATCGATAAGATAACTCCAACAATTTCTTTGTTGTTAATGGCTCCTAATTTCCAGGAATTAGCACTTCAATAGCCTTCATGAACTGTATTAAAAGGGTATGTCATCCCAGAATTCGGATTATTTCTTGGTGCAAATATTCACTGGTAGCATACCATATTTCAATTATTTGTCAACTCTTTAATTCTAACTTTCTACAAGCCAATTGTTTAAGACCACGAGATTAATGAGCCTTTTGTACATTCAATGTATTGATCACACGTCAAAACCAGATTAAAAAATTGAAAAGGATAACTCAACATACTCGGAACATCATGTTGATTTTTTGGGGTTGAAGGGAGTAATGCTGAAAGAGTACCTGGGATCAATAAAAGGCAAAAGATCTAGAGAGCATTGATCAAAGGTAGTAATATCAACTGGGTTTCTCATCCATGGCAATACAGGGATGTTTTTCTTCTCTTTCTTCAACCCCTTCTCTTCTTCCATTGTCAAGCTCACCTTTTTCAGCTGAAAACTTGAGGAAAATCCAACCAAAAACGCCCAAATTAATCTCTTAACAAAAAAAAAATCCCATAAAAAAGAAACAAGTAAAAGAAAAAGCTTATGGCAGTTTGAACACCCGAAATAAAAAAAATATTAAGGCACAAACTCAACATAGCTGGTCAGAGAAGATGAACTTTATCGGAAAATTATATCAAACGAAGAGAATAAACAAAGATAACTAAAAAAAAACATAAAATAACAATAATGATGGCCGGAGTCTAAACTCCTCCAGCTTCATATCAAACGAAGAGAACAAACAAAGATGAATATATATGGAAGATAACCTCTTTTGCCGGAGTTGGTGTCGCTGGTTCACCGGTGGAATTTGGTTGTTGTCAGTTGCACGAGCTTCGAGCTCGCTGGCTGGTTCGTGTCTGAGCTTGAAGCTTCACTGGTTCACCGGAAACAAAACCTATGTTCGCCGTTAATGGCTGCCGGCGTGTTCTGTTGAGAGGGCGGCTCTATGTTATTGCAAAATAAGGTATCCAAATATTTTTTTATAATGAAAAAGGATAAATATATTCGAATTATAATGTACTTTTTGTTTTAACGAAAGACTAAATAGTGATATGTGGTGTAATTTTATTTGTTCATTCGATATTTAATAAATATCGAATCGATGTGAGATTATGATATATGTATATGTCCGTTAGTATAAATGGTATATATGTTTTAGTCGCGTCAGAGTCCCAAAAGTATGATGGGCGATATTTACATATTGTTTACGATATTTCAGAGGTATATATTTATTATTTTTTCCTTTTTATATAAAAAAATTAATTATTTGTGATAAAATATAATATTAACGTAAAGATTTTTATCAAACATGTGAATAGTTCAAAAGATATTGAAGGCGCAAAAAATATTGAGGAGGTAGGTGCAACTTACAATAAGTCGTAAGATGGTGAAGTGACTAATCGTGTAAATTCTCTAGCTGGTCACTGAACAAGTTATTTATGTAGCACGTATACCTCTTGAGACTAACGAAAATCTTTTTTAATATATATATGGTTCTACATTTACGAATAGATGACTGAGTGTCTCAACTTCTTTACCATACATATAGCACAATTTGAAAGGTCGATTTTTCCCTTGCCAAAGTTGATATTCTTAGTGAATTAGGAAAATAGAAATAGCTCTTGCGTGTTAGCAATTATACGTCGAAAAAGTCAAGGACTTATAATGCTCATAGTGTACACTAAGTCATCAACTCAAAAGCTAGCTCTGTCGTGATCCTCGTATTAATTTGGATTTTTGTAGCTCCTATACAATTTTGTTTCTTATATGTTCTTATAATTCATAAGATAGTGAAGCGACTAATCGATGGTCGCGAATCACATCGATGGTCGCGACTCTACTAGACGTGGCTTTATGAGATTTTTTTTATTTCTAAGACCATTTTTTATTACGCTACACTACGGTCTATACAACTCACATGTCACATTACTTCTACTTCACATCAAAAATTTCATATGATGTTTTGATTGTAACGATAATCGCAGCCTTCAATCTATATCTACTCTTTCATTATATCTTTTTGTTTCACTATATGCTTATATAAAAATATTTTCAACTTGATTTGCTTTATTTCACATCAAATTGTTATGGAAGTGAGAAATCATGTATTTATTTTATGAATATTTTTTTATCGAATAAATAAAAAATTAAACCGTTAATAAATAATTTATTATCAATTTAACTATTTAAAAACTAAAAATCAAACCAACTAAAGAACCTAATAAATACCATTTCCTAACAATGAATGCCTGTGACAGAATTAGTTGGAAAAAAGTTGTAGAAACCAATGCAAAGTGCTTATTCACATAGTTTCATTCAATTGTTACATTTTTCAAAACCCCCCTTTTTCATTAGTTTCTTGTTTATCATAGATTTCATTTTTCTTCACTAACAATGGGCAATGCTTCATCTTTGCTGACTCAATATGACATTGAAGAAGTTCAAGAACACTGCAATCACACATGTATGCATATTTCTCTCATTAAAATGACATTTTTTCACTAAAGATTGTAACTTTTTGTGGGGTTTTTATTTTAATGTTTAAAAGAGGGTATTTTCTTACTAAAGTTTGCAACTTTTTTGTTTTGGGGTTATGTGGGTTTTGTATATCAATGCTTACAAAAAGGTATCTTTCTTACTAAAGTTTGTAATTTTTTTGTTTTTGGGTTATGTGTGTTGTCTTATGTGTATTTTAACTAAAGTTTGTAACTTTTTGTTTTGGGGTTATGTTTTTTTCTTTATATCAATGTTGAGAAGTGTATTTTTTTTAAAATAAAGTTTGTGACTTTTTTTTGTTTTGGGGTTTTAGTTTCACAGCAGGAGATTCTATCTTTGTACCAGAGGTTTTGTCAACTGGATAGAAATGGCTGTGGATTTGTCTCTGGAGAAGAGTTTCTTTCAGTGCCTGAATTTGCTGTCACTCCTCTCTCTCAGGTTTGATTGTTCGTGTGATAATTATTACATGATAAAAATATGTGCTTTTCTGAATAGTTGTGCAACCCGAGATCAAATTTTTCGATGAGTTGATTTCTTAGATGGTCGTTTAACTAATAATGACACTAAAATTAGGAAGAAAATTGGAAACCAGAAGTAAGGTGACTTTTTTGAGATAATAACTATTAACTGAGTGAGCATCTGAGAAATCAACTTAATTTTCCTAATATGCTTATGTAAATACTGTTTCAGGATTTAGTTTGTATAGTTTTGTGAATTGAAGCATGCAAATGCACTAAAATATTGTAGAAATTATGGTCTACTTCTTGTGCATTTACTTTGAAATGGTTGTCCCGAATGTCGGAGCCAAGATTTCACTAAATGGAATCCAAAATCTTTGTTGCTTCGACTCTCCAAAAATATTGTCGCACCCTGTTGGATCCTCCAAAGAATTCACTACTTTTGGAGCATCATGCACACACTCGTCGGTATATTTGAAGAGTCCGAGCAATATAGTCCAAAATATAAGGAAGTAAGCACACGAAGAAGCCAACAGGATTCAACATAAAATATACATACATAAAAAAAACATTGACATACCTACACAATGTAATTTTCCGTAGAGTGGTGTCAATTGACTCCCCTTGGACAAATGTGGTTCTGCGATTGGTTATCCTCACATAATAGTGAGGGAATAGTTTGTATGGCATTATTGTGCTATTTAGTGCTTGTGGGACTTTTTGTGTCAGAAAGAAGCATTTCCTCTGGTAAACTGAACAAATTCAATCCTTCAGATATGAAAGGTTCGGTAATACAAGTTTGTGAGACTATCTTTTATAATTTTGAAGTAGAATTGAAAGATGATCCAATCTGTAAACGACAACAACATGAGACCTGGTTTATGTTCGTCCAGATGTAAGGGTAAAAAAATCAACTCGAAGCAAAACATAGGTTTCATGCAGGAGAGAAAGAGAGGTACATTGGAAACAGAGAGGTCTTTGAACGGGAAATGAAATAGTTAAAAAGGTTCACTGGTACACTGATTCATCAACAGAGAGGTTATGCTAGCAGATTAATAGATCCTAATTCTCCTCCTTTTTCTGTTCTCATTGCGCATTGATAAGAACTGTATTTTTTTAGAACACGGAGAAATGAAGTTAAAAGTACCGGGCTCGCTTTCTCTCTTCTCTCCTCTTAGCTGCTGGTTTGGTGCAACTGTAAATAACTTTTTGATTGTGTGGATCTTTTAGTATATCGTTTATTTTGAGTTTTTGGGCAATGACCAACATTGAAATGTCACAAATGCACTTTTGCAAATTCTGCCACTATAAAACTTTATTCTTAATCATCCTTTTTCTTAATGCAGAGGCTATTACGGATGATAGACGGGTTAAATTTCAAAGAATTTGTGGCATTCCTATCAGCCTTCAGTGCTCATGCCAGCTTGCAACAAAAGGTTGAATGTAAGGGCATTTCTCATTTTATGCCTTTGATAGTCTCTTTGAAATGCGCAAATCCAATCTTCTTTTGCGTAACTTTAATTTCTTCAGGTTAATTGTTGCTCATAGTGCTACCACTCTTTCTTATTTTTCCAGTTATATTTAGAGTTTATGATTCTGACGGGAATGGAAAGGTGTCATTCAATGATATGCTGGAGGTCTTGCAAGATTTGACTGGACCATTTATATCTGAGGTTCAAAGAGAGGTAGTGTTTGTCTTTTATTTTTTCGATGCTTTTGTTTCTTATGATCTTTTTCTGATGAGAACTATTAAAGTATTGTGAAATAAATAGAGTTTCTCCGTATCTTACTTTATTCTGTTTCGGAAAGTATACTTAGTAAAATGACGTCAAGGCATTCAATCTCTGGATTGCTCTTGATTACCTTGTAACCTTCTGATGTAGGGAGCTTTCAACTAGCCTATAGTTGCAGTATAGTAAAATGGAGATCTATAGGACTTGATACTGGCAGAGACATTGGAGATTAATACGGGGTTCTTGTTGTTTTAAGGTTAATGATTCCATGAATCACGGAAAGGAAAGGTTTTCAGTTGTTCTATATGTAAATCAGTGGAGTAAGAGAAGAAAAGTAGTCTAGAAATCCCACCATAGAAGTAAAAAAGCAGTAAAGTAGTGATAAAGTTTCCCCGAAAGCCTTCAAATTGACTCATATATTCTGCACTATTAATTCGAAAACGTAAATGAATATTTATGAGCACCAGTTTTCTAAGTTGGTTAGTCCTACTAAAATTGCTGCTAAACAATAAGGAAATAATATAAATTGACCATCTTTAGAAGTTCTTAAACAACGTGATCATAGACTCAGACATGGTTTTTGGATTTTATTGCATTTAACAGGTAAAGATACTCCTGAAAATAACCTAAAGTTTACCAGCAACGGCAGATTAAAGTATGTCCAATCTTGGGCTATAAATGAGAGAGATTTCTCATTTTCTTCTGTGTGTGCATGTCACCTTTTTCACACATCTGAAATGACATAGGAGTATCATCCCGGGAAGTATGCATAACTATATTTACTTGGATTTTGGTAATCACTCTTTTGAAAACGAGGCATAGAGAATCCCCTTAAAAACATTTACAAGTTAAAATCATTCTTCCACTTTTTTTTAGTTTCATTGCTTTCAACGTTTTCCTTGAATTAAGGACAAACTCGGTGCAAGAAGGGGTGACCTGACGGTCCATGATACTGGAATGAACCATGAAGACTTGGGTCCAATCGTAGAAAAGGAAAATAGCTAGTTGCTTTCTTCTGATCTGTCTAAGCCTTTTAACGAATTATCTGATACATATTCTTGTACCATGGATTAGTTGTGGTACGTGCAAGTTAGTCGGAACAGTACTTCTATATAAAGCAGAAAGTAAAAGACGCTAACGATAAAGGGAACAATTTTTTCTATCGGTAACAAACTTGGGGAACTTATACATTTCTTAGCTCTTATTTCATGGTTTATTTTGTTCACTTATTCACCTGCAATTTATTCTGATTTCGTTTAACTATAGTAAAGCTACTCTACTTCGCTCTTCCCATTTCTTGCCATAGGAAGTACTTAATTTGAAGACTTAAAAACATAGTAGTATTTAGCAGGTAATGTCAACTTTTTAAAGAAGCTGAGAAGAAAAATTCAAATATAGCAAATCGAGTGCAGTTCGTCAACATGCTATCATTCTTTGAGAAAATATAAGTGTACTCAGGAGATTATTCATTATGGTTTGGATTAGGTTACAGATGTAATCCTTTTTTTTGGACAATTTACTTGATTGTGAAGTAAACAAGTTGTCAATGAGAACATTTTGATGGTGGATCACCGAAGAAGCCACCTTCTATAAAGTTTACCTGAAAAAGATGTGACCTTGCGTTTAACTCCGGTTTTATTTCTGTCCATGCAGCAAGTTTTGACGCGTGTTCTTGAGGAAGCTGGATACAGCAAGGATTCTTCACTAGTCCAATCTGATTTCCTGAAGGTAAATATTGGACCTTTGACCTTCACGCTATCTGTTTCTTCTTGCAAGTTTCTGATGACCCTTTGACAGATCAATTAACGGTTCTCTAGTGAAGCCAATTACTCTTGCCTCTTGTTTAATCTGTCTTTCTGAGAATATATTATGATATATACATTACTGCATTTGTATAAAATATTAAAAGGTGTTATGTGAATTAAAACAAGGTTCAATGTTAGATCAAACAAAACATATAGACAAACTTTGCCTCAACTGTTTCATTGCTATGGTCGGGAAGCTTGATATGTTTTGACTATGAGAAAGTTACAAGTAGCAGTGTAGACGAGCAGGTAGAGAAATTTCAAGCAGCAAGTTGGTTATCATCCCGCTTGGTACATAATGTAAAGCAGAAGTAGTGAACTTCTAAGGCTCCATGTTGTGAGTTGAGTTTGAAATTTCATGAATATTTGAATAAGATTAAAGCATCTTCATATCTACTGTCAAAATTATTCCGAGTTGAAGGATTTGCAAATGCTTCCTGCAATATTGCGATACCAAATGGAAGTATCATATCTAAATCACAAAATAAACTCTAGAGCTGCTGAAATTCATGCAAACTGATAGCTTCTTTGATGTTTGGTTTTTATGTACTGAAAACTACACACGCCCTTTTCCTCGCGCTGCTTAACTCTTGTAGACACCCTTATAGCTTGTCATGTTCAGTTTTTACCTCCTCTACGCGTCCCTTACATCATTTCATGATCATAACTCATTGAATCAACATTATAACATGTCATTGGATCAGCTTATCAGTGGGATGAGAAAAGTAGAGTAGAACTACACCCTTATAGCTTGTCATGTTCAGTTTTTACCTCCTCTACGCGTCCCTTGCATCATTACGTGATCATAACTCATTGAATCAACATTATAACTTGTCATCGGATCAGCTTATCAGTGGGATGAGAAAAGTAGAGTAGAACTACTTCCAACTTGAGATGTGTGTGTCACTTGCATCATAACATGATCATTACTAGTCGGAATCAACGTTGTAACATGACTTTGATCCGTATCACTGAATCAAGCTTATCAGTGTGTGAGAAAAGTAATTTTCGACGTATTGATTTCTGAATTTCCTTGGTTTGGTTGAATGATATTGACAAAGCTACTATTGTTTGCAGATTCTTGGCAGTTCTGATCTGAAGATGGAAGTTGAAATTCCAGTAGATTGACAAAATGGCTTTGCTTTAGTTGAAATTATCATATAATTTGCACCAGCAAGAGTTAAACAAAAGCTCCTTTTGAATTACTAAATTTAATACATGTTATGATGAGTATATGTTATATTGAACATATGTAAAACTCAGGTTATTATTCACATCATAATGGTTGAATTGATCATATCATGTTGCAATCCTGCTTGAGTCTTTTTTTGAGTCGAGGATTTATCGTAAACAATATTTCTACTCTACAAAGACAGGTTAAGGTCAACGTACCTTCTATCTTGATCTAAAGGTAGGTTTTGGTTTGATTTTTATTAAAAATAATTAGACTAATTATGTTGATTTAGATCAATATAAAGTCGATTTTTTAATTTTAATTTTAATAGATTCTTCAGAGTTTTTGAATTTTTACAGAATGATTGAAAAAAAGATCAATTATATTTTTACTTACTTGTGTGATAAGCTAGAGAATAAAAACATTAAATGAATAAGAATTTTTTAAAAAAAGAAGGTAAAATTCACGTGAATACAAAAATAATTTTATTGAAATATCAACGTTCAATATATTACATTTATAAAATTAAAGGCTACCGTCAAACTGAATACGAAATAAAATATTTACAAAGTAGATTGTTAACTTCAATCTGAAAAACTATAACAATTTAATTGTAATTTCCAATCTGAATACAAAATAAAATATTTACAAAGTCCAAATTTGAAAATAATTTATCTATAAACTAATTAAAAATATATTAACAAAGTAGATTTTAATCAATACTCCACTTTTTTATGTATAAAATAAAACAAAATAATTTTATACATTACGTTGGTTTAATTTGAGTTTGATTTGACTTTTCTTTAATATCAAATCAAGAGTGATTGGTCTTTTTTTCAACGGTAAACCAATTTTTCAAATTTGAATTGATTCAATTTAACTTGATGATTTGATTTGTACACGTCTATAATCGTTCAATAATTTCTCTTAAAAACTTAAAAATATAAATGAGAGACAAATGTCCACCTAGCTACTAAGGACCAAGTAGTTAAATTGAAATTAATTCTATTTAATTATGCTATTAATTACTTCTAGGTATTAATTTCCTTAATTAGCTTTAAAGTTTTAAATATAAAAATCATTAATCACTTCCAAGGAGAAATTCTAAATACAAGAGGCACCTCTTAATTTCATGTTTAGTTGATTAATACTTTTAATAATATTTTCTCTAAGAAAAATAATATTTCTATCAAAATAAGATAAATTTATTAATTTAACTTATTTTGTTTGGTTAAATTAAGTCCATCTAAGAATTAAACAAGTTTAAAATATGACCCTAAACACGATATTTTACTCTTAAATCACGAATAACAATATAATAAAATTATCAAAAAAAATATAATATCAATTTTTACGAAAGAAAGTCAACGAATTCAATCAGATACATGGCAATTATAATTATATATATATATATATATGAAGGATTTCATTGACTAATATACTATACATTTGGCCTTATAAGATCCATACAAAACAATATACTTTACTTTATAATCTTCAATTAAAATTTTTATAAAATAAATAATACGACACTCCATATTTATAATCTAAACTCATTTTAAACTCAAATACTCATATAGTTTTAATCAATTCAACACTCGTTAATATGATATAATATATTATCAAAAATTCACACTCGATATTTTAGATCCGTCCCGATATTTATTTAAATTCTCTTACTATAAGCATGCTCTGGAACATTGAATAAGTGTATGGTCGGCCATAAATAAAGACATACATAATAAATTTATTATTTATCAACTTTTTAAATTAAAACTTTTAATAAGTCCATTTTCACCGTTTTTTTTCCGTTGACTAACGACCCCATGTGTAATTATTATTATAATAATAATAAAATAAATAATTTTTATTTTTAAAAAAGAGTGACAAGTGTAATCATGTTGTTTGTGGTATTAATAAATTAATAAAATATAATACTTGACTTTTGTTTTATTTTATTTTGAAAGAAGTTAATTTATGTTAAAACTATACTTACAAGGTGGTTAAAAGGATTAATAATTATGATTAAAGCTAAACTAAACCCAATTACAATGAAAAGTGTTAAAAGACATAATAATTATAACAACAATACAACATACATATTTTGCTTAATTTCATAATATCATATTCTACCAATCGCACGTATATATATGATTTTTTTGAGAAGTTATTAAGCGCACGTGTAATTTCAGTAATTTTTTGAGAAGTTATTAAGTACACGTGTAATTTCAGTGAGTTTATTTTTATCTTCATTAAATCATATCTAAATATAAATATGTAAAACAAGAAGACAGGTTGAAAACGAGAATCGTAATATTTTTCATTGACAAGTCACGAGTCTTGATCGGATTGGTGGAGTTTGTAATTTCACAAGTAACGATTTGAGGTGGTTGTGATGCATACACAATCTGAACCCTGTCTTGTGCACGTAGAAAGATTATTTTCGAAGAACTTATAAATGACGAACAGAATAATTAATAACAAAAATATATAATATGATTTCCTACTTCACAATTATGATGATATAATTTTAATTTATTTATTTTAATTATAATTTTTTTAAAAAAAAAATAGTGCTTAATTAAGGGGATAAAATCAAGATAATTAGTCACCTAGAAATTGGGTGGCATAAACGGACAGCCAAAATCTAGGCCTACCTTTCCTTTATGTAAAAGACAAATCAACAAACCGTTACAAAAACCAATTTTATTTTATTTTTTAATCTGAAAAAAATATTTTTCCAGAAAATTAATTTTTTTTTTCAAAAAAAAATTGATTTTTTTAATAAAAAATTAATCTCTCTTTGAATCTTCAAGTGGGGTTTCCTTATTTTTTTCAATTCTTGCATTGTGTTTTTCACTTTATGTTGCTTTTTTGGTTTGTGGGGTTTTTTAAAGAATCAACATTTCTTGATTTTTTGAAGAAAAAAAAAAAAAGGTTGTTCATAAATATCCAGAAAAGAATCTTGATTTTGTTTTTTTCACTAGTGGGTTCATTTTCATTTTTCAAAAAGATTGATTCTTTGTATTGAAATTTGACATTTTGTTTGAATATTTTGGTGGGGTTTTCCTTTTTTGTGAGGTTTGGTTTGTGGGGTTTTGAAGAATGAGCATTTCTTGATTTTTATATGAAGAGAAATGGAAAAAAAGAAGAAGATGGGTGATTTGTGTTTCTTGATTGAGTGACTCTTCTTTTCTGCTGTAAATTAGGTAAACTCAAAGTTCCTCAGCTCTCTGTTTATGCAATGATCATTAGTTGTATTTCTCTTAATCTTGAGATTGTATGTTTCTTGATATAAAGATTACATATTTCATAATATTCTGTTAATGTTGTTGTTGTTGTTGTAATGTTGAGATTGCCTAACTGTGTATGCAGACTTTACTATTACCTTGGAGGTAGATAGGCTATTCTCGATAGACGCTTGGCTCGAGAATGTTGATGTTGTTGTAGAAGTAATGTTGAGATTGCCTAATAATAACATATCTAGAGTATTTCGACGAGTGGGGTACGGTGAGATAGAGTGTATGCAGACCTTACCCCTGCTTTGGTAGGTAGAGAGACTATTTCTGATAGATCCTCGTTTTAAGAATGTTGAGATTGCCTGTTTCTTAATATAAAAGATTACATATTTAATATTTCTCTTTTAATGTTGAGATTGCCTAACAACAACATACCTAGTGTATCCCCCACGTGTTTTGTTTGGAGAGGATAGAGTGTACCTAGACCTTACCCCTACTTTGGGAGGTAGAAAGATGGTTTTCGATAAGACCCTCGGCTTGAATATGTTGAGATTGTTTGTTTCTCAAATAGTGTTGAGAGTGCCTAACAATAACATACCTAGTCGGGTATGGGGAGGTAGAGTCTCCGCAAACCTTACTCCTATATTGGGAGGTAGAAAAGCTATTTATGATAGACCCTCGCCTCAATTTCATGTTGTATACTGTTGGCATAGGATGAATTTAAGAGGGAAAAATGGTTAGTGAGAATTACCGAGGGTCTATAGAAACAACTCTCTCTAACCCACAAAGGTAGGGGTAGGATTTGTGTACGTTCTACCTTCCCAGACCCCACTCGTAGTACTACACTGCGTATTATATTGTTTTTGTTGGTTAGTGAGAATACCTATAGCCGACTCTAACTTGTTTGAGACCGAGACAGAGTTGTTGTTGTAATTGACGAGAAATGCAAAGTTTAAGACTTATTTTTCCTTGAGTGAACACTAAATTGGTTAAAATACGAAATGTGACTATGGTTGTTGATGATAGCTGAAGTTTCGATTGTTGGTTTTATATTGAATCGGGAAAATTAATCATTGCCAATCTTTTCTTCTGTTAAATGATTCTTCTGTTATCGCAGAGAACGTGTAGTTACTCTTCCGGTTTAGATGGCTGATAGTTATATGCCTCAAGTTGATGTTGCTTCTTTGAAAGAGACTCTATGTGCTCAACAACAGCTTCTACAGAAGCTTTACGGTGAATTGGATGAGGAAAGAGAAGCCTCCTCCAGTGCAGCTAGTGAAGCGTTATCGATGATCTTACGTCTCCAAGGAGAAAAAGCTGCAGTAAGAATGGAAGCCGAGCAGTACAAGCGATTGGCTGAGGAGAAAATGTGTCATGCTGAGGAATCATTAGCCATTTTCGAGGATCTTTTCTATGGAAAGGAGATGGAGATAGCTGCATTGGAGTATCAGGTGCAAGCTTATCGGTATAAGCTGTTGAGCATGGGCTGTGTAGATCCCGGGGTCGGTGAATTCAAATATCCTGAGAATTTGTTGCAAAGAAACGAGAATTTAGCAGGTGAAATGAATCTCCAAGCCCTTGGAAGGCGTAATTCCGCCCCTCCTTTTCCCCTGAAAATTCCAAAGAGGGGTGCTATGGAAATAGATGATTCAAGTTCGGAAATAGATTCAAATTCGAAAACTGTGGAGGAATATACAGGGCAAGAGATGAATGAGCAGCAGTTGGATACAGAGAAGAAGACAGATATTTCCATTTCCACGACTGGAAGTATCAATTCGTATTGGCAACAGATTCGGAAGTTGGATGATCGAGTGAAAGATATTACAGGAGTTAGCTATGCGAACTTCAGGAGTGAAACGAGGTCTCCTTCACCGCTTTCTCAAAGAAGCATTAAGATAAGCAAATCGGAAAATGAATGGTACCAGCCGCCTAATCTTCACGTGAGCAAATCAGAAAATGACACACCTGCTGATTCTGGTTGTTCTCCGAATGTTCTTGATGTCTTCGAAGTGCCTCGAGCAGATAAGGATACCATTGATATCGGATTGCCTCCTAAACATGATCGCAAGATGGTTTCACATAACGATGAAAGGCTCGAGAGACCTGATTCTGCTCAACAAGAGGCTGTAAAATCATCGGTTAGAGATGAAGCTGATTTGCTAAAGAAGTATTTTGTATCTGCACAGAGAGAGAACAAGCTACGAAGAGCAAGTGAAGCTGCTGCTATTACCTGCCATTTGGCAATATCTCGCCCAACAACCAGCATTTCCGAGACTAGCGAGTCTCATCAGCCCAATCGAACATCTGAGATAGTTGAAGTTGGAAGAGAAGCGTCAAGATATGAAATGGCTCGAGATGAAGAGCTGAAGTTGTTACACGACATTAAAGAGCAACTAAATTTAATGCACTCCGAAATCCAAAGTTTGAAAAGCGACAAACTCCCTCCAAGTGACGACGAACCATCCTTACTTCTTCTATCAGAGGTAGGTACATTTCATCTAAGTCCCTCCATTCTTTTGATTCTAATTACTCCCATTCAGTCGCAACATGTGAAAAATTTTACTCCCTCCGTTTCAATTAGTTTGTTTGGTTTTGACTTGTCACTGAGTTTTAAAAGAGTAAGGCAAACTTTTGAATCTTGGAAAGAGACATTTTTTTTCCTAAAAAGGGAAGTAAGACAAACAAATTAACAGTCTTACCATCTTGAACAGGCAATGACTCACTTTTGGCTCTGATCGATCTATCAAAAGCTCGAGCACCAGCAGTCATCTGGAATACCCGCGTCCGTTACATAATCAAGATGCTCCCCTTCTGTGACTTCTGAATAGCGTAAGAGTTGTTTTTGGCTTTATTGTGTGGTTGCAGAGATATTCAATACATTTGTAAATTGATCGCGTAGAGTATACCATATAACCTTCATCACATCAACTTAGTTGCATCAAGAAGAGGAATGTTTTCACATTTGTTAACATTTTGACAACAGTTTTTTGTTTTGACGTCTGAAACAGTCTCTCTATCCCGCAAAGGTAGAGGTAAAGTCTGTGTACATCCTCCCCTCCCCAGACTCCCGCTCATTGGTGTAAGTTCATTTGTGATTTGTGAGTGGTGCTACCACATTTTGTTTATTTCTTAATTGTGTTATGTTAACTGAGGGAGTATTTCTTTTATTTGTATAGATAGATACCTGGACTTCAAGAATGTTATTTCATATTTCAATAATAAAAATGGGGAAAAGCTCAAATATTTGAGAAAAAGCTCATCTCTTTATCCATTATAATTTGACTCATCTATTTCATTTCCGTTGAGAAAAGGCTCGTCCATGCCATTATTCATTAACGGGAAATAGTTTCGGTTTGCAAAATCATGTTTTACACGTGGTCAATTATGATTCAGTCAAGTCATTAATTACATTATCATATTTTTTTAAAAGGAAAAAAGGTTTAAATATGTCATTAAACTTTGAGAAAAGATTCATGTATGTCATCCGTTAAAAGTTTGACTCATTTATGTCATTTCAGTTAATAAATAATGAAATGAATGAGTTTTTTCTCAAACAAATTATATTTAATGTATATATTATATTTATTTCGATTATATGATGATAAATTAATTAACCGAACGATATATATCCCTAAATTTCCCAAAAATTAATTTAGAGTAGAGTTTTCTTTCTTTGAATTGTTAATGCCAATACTCCTTATTTTGCAATCATAAAAAATTATTGGTGAACTTAATTAGTTTATTATTTATTTAGTGAGTTTGGTATAATACCAACTTTCCACTTAGCTATAAAAAAAATATCTAAAAATTTGATATTAATGGTAGGCTGAAAAGATCCTATAAGTGCATTTTGACTATGCAAGATATGATTTGTCAGATAACACAAAAAATTATTAGTGTTTAAGAGGAGATTTGCTCTTTTTACTATTAATTAAAACAATGTTGAGATAATTAAAGTACTTTTTAAGTTTTAAATAGTTTTCATATCTATTTTAAAATATTAGCTCTTCGCTATAAAAAAAATAAAGGACTGACAGACTTCTAAGTTGACGAGCTTCTGAAGAAGAAGAGGGTACATAACATTTTAAGCGATTCTCATGTCGAGATAAAAGAAGAACGTACAAGGTTTATACGGCATAACACAAATTCACATAATACACACATTTTCGAAGTTGATATCAGTATAGCCCGAGGGACAAATCCGCTAGGTTTGTTAGGTCAAAGCAGACAATAAGGCTTGAATCGTGACAAATATTGTAGTAAAACACATTACTAATACTTTAAACAAAAAGAATTTTTCTATAGCTCGGGGCAGTCTTGGTGCACGAATCATCCCACGTTCACGTAGAATCCAGAGAAGGTCCGCACCCAAAGAAGGAACAATTAAAAAGGTTAAAAAAAAAGGAACATACAAGTACAATGAATAAAGTTAAAAAGGTACATTGTTAGATATAAAAAAATTTAAAAAAGAAGTTCAACTTTTTGTTGTGACATCTTCAGTAACACTGTTTGAAGAAGTTGAAACATACTGTTTTAACCTTCCAATTTCAAGTGCAACATCCAACATTGTTGGCCTAGTTGATGGATTGTACTGAGTACACATTAAGCCAAGTTCAATCAACTCTAACACTATATCGTGCCATATATTGCTATCGCGTTGAACTATTCTACATCTTTGTAATACTTCATCAATCATAGCCTCGAGTTTATGTGAATACTGACTCTTCACCCATTCGTGTAAGCTCGAGCCTTGTTGAAATAGAACGTCTGTGGGACGTTTACCTGTCACAATCTCGAGTACAAGAACTCCAAAGCTAAATACATCTCCTTTTGTTGAAGCCCTCCTTCCCATTCCATATTCTACAATCAAAAGAAACAGAAACAGAAACTTTAGTCATATAAAATTTGATCAAATGAATTAGATAGAACAGAACTATTTGTATCTGTTACTAACCAGGAGCAATGTAACCAATTGATCCACAAAGTAATCCATCTGTTGAGTTGTAAGTAACTGACTCGTCGATAGGATTTGTATTTTCCTCAACAGCTTTTACTAATGTTGAAATCCCAAAATCAGTCACCAATGCTGTCATGTTGTAATCAAGAAGGATATTGCTTGGTTTGAGATCACAATGCACGACTTTAACAGGCGAATAGTGGTGGAGATAGGAGACTCCTTCTGCTACATCGCTGCAAATGTTAACCAATTGAGCTAAGTCAAGTTGATGTCTCAGCCCGTGGCTCGGGTACAGATGGTTCTCTAGGCTTCCGTTAGGCATCAGAGGGAACACGAGAGCTTTGAAATCCGGTCTGCTACATGTTGTTATGATCCTTATCAAGTTCCTATGTCTAGTCCTTTTCAAGATTTGACATTCCCTTTTGAAACTACCTGATATCTCTCCACCTCCTTTTGTGTCAATCACTTTAACAGCTATGCTCATGTTGTTCTTCAGGACTCCTTTATAAACACGTCCATATCGTCCTGCTCCTATTAAACTCGAGCTGCTAAAACCTCCCGTTGCTTCAATCAGCTGCATACGAGATATCCTCGGGTACTTTTGCTCTTTCCTCCCACCTCCTTGCTCCACATCTTCAATTACCTTGCTTTTATTAAAACTCGCGAATTGGTTCCTGAATCTTGATCTTAGGAGGAGAGGGTAACCGACTACGCAAAATATAGGAGTTATAAGCAATGAAAGGAGGATTGTGATAATGAAATGTCTACCCTTCTTCTTATGACAACTTTTCATCCCTTGTACTGAGCCACAAAGTTTGGAATTTCCCATGAATGAGCTCATGGTTAGTGATGAAAATGCACCAGTATCTGTCACGTTCCCCGAGAAGTGGTTATAGGAGAAGTTGAGGTTCTGCAAAGTCGACGATGCTTGAAATGTCTGTGGTATATCCCCACTCAACACATTGAATGAAACGTCGATTTCCTTAAGGTAAGGTAATCTTCCTATCGAAGATGGAAGAGGTCCTTCTAAGGAGTTACTCGATAGATTCAAGTATTCGAGAGCAATGCAGCTACCAAGCTGTGAAGGGACATTAGACGAGAGATTATTCGAAGACAAGTCAATTGCCAACACCATATCCATTTTGCTGAGCTCTAAAGGAATTGAACCATGTAAGTAATTACTAGACAAGTTCAGATAGAGCTTCAAACTACTCAATCCTGCAACTGCACTTGGAATCGTCCCCGTGATTCTGTTGTGAGAAAGATCAAGTATTTCCAAGTTAACACAATCACCTAAGCTCGGGGGAATCGTTCCAGAGAGGTAATTATCGTGTAACAAAAGCCTCCTCAGTTGCGGAAGATTAGCAAACGTATTGGGGATTAAACCAGAGAGGTTGTTTTTCGACAGATCAAGAAGGCCTAAATGAGAAACATTTCCAAAAGCAGAAGGAATAACACCAGACAGTGAGTTATTTGACAGATAAAGCCTCTCGAGTTTCCTCATTTGACACAACTCAGGAGGTATTGTACCATTCAGATGATTACTAGACAAGTTCAATAGAGTAATATTTACAAGACTCGAAATTTGTGTTGGGATTAGACCATATATAAGATTATCGTCGAGATGTATCTGTGCAAGGTTCTTGGAGATGTTACCGATAATAGGAGGTAACTCCCCACCAAGATTATTCCCAGCTAACTCAAGTTCTTGCAAGTTAGTACAATTCACTAAAGACGCGAAAAAAGGCGTCAAGTCAGTATTACCACTATGACTATCAAAGTTGTTGTAAGACAAATACAAAAACTGTAACTTTGGCATTTTACTTACAATATCAGAAGGAAGTTCACCACTCAACGAATTCGATTCAAGATCAAGCCATTCTAGCTTTGTAGATTTCGAAAGAGCAATAGGTACTTCACCAACAAGTTCATTAGACCATAGAAGAAGAAACTTCAACCCACTCAACTCACAATGATCATCCATAGGGATTTCACCGCGTAGCGAATTGTTAGAAAGATCCATATATTGTAATGAAGCAGAGCAATTACAGAACAATGACTGAGGAATTGCACCAGAAAGATTGTTTGTTCCTAAATCAAGATACTTCAATTCATGAAGAAATCCCAACTCGTTCGGGATTTCTCCTTCGAGTAGATTAGAAGACAAACTAAGCTGATTAAGCTTAACAAGATCTCCTAATCCAGAAGGAATTCGTCCATGTAATAAATTGCCAGATAAATCAAGAATCTGTAAGAATGAGAGTCCAGAGATAGATGGAGAAATCGTTCCACGTAACGAATGATGACTAAGATCAAGCTCAACAACTCTATGAATTCTCTTGTCACATACAATTCCTGTCCAATTACATACATGAATGTTGGATGAATTCCAACTTTCAAGTACATGAAATGGATCAGAAACAATCATAGACATGAACGAAACAAGCGAATCGCGATCATTTAACGTAATTTGATCATTTTTTTGGCCTAAAGCTATAGAGAAAACCATGATCAAGAAGAAGAAATTGTACATGGAAAACTTAGAACACCCCATTTTTTTGTTATTAGTACTATTGCACCAATCATTAAAATTTGAATAGTGAGAATAAATGAAACTACCTAGATGTATATATATATCGCTGAGGGGTGCAAGAGGTCCAACTGAACTTCCTTCGTCGAAATATTATATTATAGAAATAAAATATATATATATATATATATATACACGCAAGTGCGAACGCGGATGGTGCAAGGAGGTCCATCTGAACTTCCTTCATCGAAATATTATACTACATAAATATATTGTATATGCAAGTGTGAACACGAAAGAGTGTAAAGGGGTCCATCGGAACTTCCTTCGTCGAAATATTATACTATAAAAATAAATTATACATATATGTATATGTAAGGGCGAACATGGAGGGATATAAGGGATTCATCTGAACTTTCTTCGTTGAAATATTATACTTTGAAATATTATACTACGGAAACAAATCGTTTAATATCCCTTTGGTACAAAAAATATATTTTTTTTTAATTTCTGACACCGTCGGTGACTTATCCTAAAAAAGTAAAAATTATAATTGTTATAAATAGAGAATTAAATAATTAAAATATGTTTTATTTGTGCCTAACTAGAGTTGAAGAAGTGGCGCCAATGATTTTTGACTTGAAAAAAAAGGTCAAATAGTTAGACATGAAACACGTGTGAACTTGTCTGAATGCCACTTGTGTATTGTTTAATTCATACCAAATAAGTTTAACGATGAATTTAAGTTATATACGTTGATAATACAA